TTCTTACACTTATGCGCGAGCATAAGTTGTACGCCAACCTCAAGAAGTGTATATTCGCAGCTAGCGAAATACCACTTCTTGGGTTGCATCGTCGGAAAGAACGGCGTACGCCCTGATCCAGAGAAGATCAAGGTAATCACCGACTGGCCAGTGCCAGTCGATGTCAAGGGACTAAGGAAGTCCCTTGGGCTATCGGCGTGCTTGCACAAGTCCTCGCGCAACTACGCTGATATGAAAGTACATCTTTCTTGTTTACTCAAGAAAAATGTAAAGTGGAACTGGAACGCCGACTGTCAGCGTTCCTTTGAACGTATCAAGCAAAGCTTGATGCAATCGCCAGTATTGGCGATTGCAGATCATTACAGATCATTTCATGTGTTCTGTGACGCCAGCGACTTTGCAATCTACTGCGCACTGATGCAATATGATACAGACGGCGCAGAGCGTGTCGTCTGTTATCAATCGCGTCAGCTGCAACCGGCCGAGCGCAATTACCGGGTGCACGACAAGGAACTCCTTTCCATGAAGTATGCACTGGCTAAGTTTCGCGTCATCTCTTTGGAGATAGACCGTTCATTGTATATACAGACCATGCGTCACTACGCACGGCTGTAAATAGTCCACACCTCTCGCAACGAATGGCGAGATGGTTGTCGTTCTTCGCAGAGTACAGCTTCTCCGTGGAGTATAAGCCGGGACGACTTAACGTCGTCGACGATGCTCTTTCACGTCGGCCTGACATAGAGCCGACTGTGCAATCCGACAGTGATGTAAACACCACTGTCGCCACGCTGAGTACCAGCGTCTTGTCGTCGAGCTTACTCGACGACATTAGAAGGGCATGCGCACAAGATAATGATCTTGTACGCCTGATGGAGTACCTCAAGGACCCATCCAACCAAGCTAAGAAGCGCTTGCCTGCCATGTATCGATCTTCTCTCGATCGATACACCCAGCGGAACGGCTTACTGTACTACACAGCCATCAACAACGACACGCCTCGTGTCGTTGTACCGCCACAACATGATCTCAGGTTACGGATCATGTTTGAATGTCACGATGCACCAATAAGTGGGCATCGCGGCCGTGAGAAGACTTACCTCACGGTCAGTCGCGCCTTTTACTGGCCACGCCAGTACAAGTTTGTGCGCAAGTACGTGCGTGCTTGCGAGGTGTGTCAAAGAGTGAAGCCTAGTCCTTCACTCCGTGCACCATTGCAGCCTCTACCTGTTCCGGCAGAGTGCTGGGAGTCCGTATCAATGGACTTCGTCTATGGGTTTCCCAAAGACGCTCACGGGAATAATGGTATTCTCGTGTTTGTCGACAGGTTCAGCAAAATGGTACATCTTGTTGCTTTACCTGAGTCGATCACAGCAGAGGGCTGTGCTCGAGTGTTTATCGATACAATCTTTCGATTGCACGGTTTACCCCGTAAACTTGTGTCCGAGGGACCCCCGGTTCACGGCTGAGTTTTGGCGTTCCGTGTTCCAAACACTTGGAACACGGCTCACAATGTCTACTTCTGACCATCCAGAAACTGATGGTCAGACTGAACGCGCCAATCGAGTCCTCGAAGAGATTCTTCGAGGGTACTTCCACTCGTTTACGAGTTGGAGTGAGTTCTTGTCGATGGTCGAATTCGCCATCAACAACTCCGTGCATGCCTCCACGACGCATACACCGTTCTACGTGAATGGCCTTCGCCATCCACGTGTCCCACCTTAGTAGAGGGTGACTCTAATTTAAGGGGGGGAGGGACTCGCTCGAGCGAGAACCAATCTGGCTCTTGCTCATCACGCGACGACGTTATGGTCGACGCGAAAGTAACCGAAGTCGTACCATTCGACTTCGGTGAAGAGGAAGAAAGTAAGAGCGATGACGCTCTTACTGATAACGATGCTGAAGATATCAGCATCGTTCGAGGTATCACAAGTGAGAACAGTATTGTTCTCGCTGAATTAGTAACCGATATCTCTGCAGTGCACTCACAATGCACTGCAGCCAAAAGCAACGAGTCAACTGAGGATTTCCTGCTGACTCGTGAAGCGGTAGTCCGTTTCGTGCAAGCCTCCATCGCAGAAGCGGTGGATAAGCAAAAGCGAAACGCAGACAATAATGGAAGGGCAAATGCTCAAACATTTATTGAAGGTAATTTAGTTTTACTGTCAACAGTAAACCTACCTAAACATGTAGTGACTAACGTAGGCAGCAATAAATTGTTGCCCAAGTACATCGGCCCGTTTCGTGTATTGTGCCGCCTAGGAAACGCATACACGATCGAGTTGCCACGCAGGATGCGTACGCATCCTACGTTTTACGTGGGACGTCTTCGTCCGTACGTTCAGTACGCGGATTCTTCGAACGACAAAGATAGCCATTACTCTCAAGAATCCCCTTCAGATTCTTGTTTTCACGAACCAGATTCGATATCTGGTCGTGTAGAGATGAGATCTTCCCATGATATTGGACGATCTCCTGACGAGCTGTCGCCAGCTCGTTACTTAGAGAATGAAGCCGCCGTTCATTCTCCAATAGTGCGACAGCATTGTTTGCCCGAGACTTCTCATGGTCAAACCCAAGCTGTCGCACAATGTCCTCTAAGCGACGACGCTTATCCCGTTCGTGATCAACATCACAACGGAGCTCACGAGTTACACGGGCAAACCCGTCTAACTCATCAGCCAAGTCCGATGAAAGAATCGGACAGGGTTTTTCCTCCACCACCGCATCCGCTGGTGGACTCCCATGGTGGGAAGCGCTTCCTCGTGGAACGCTTACTAAAGCACCGCGAGGTGAAGGGACGTCGGACGAGTTATCTCGTCCGGTGGCGTGGCTATCCGCCTTCGGCGGATAGCTGGGAACATCGGTCCCAACTGATGGCCGACGTTCCCGGCCTTGTCGAACAGTACGACAAGGGACACCCGGTGGTGAAGGACCATCGGAAAACGAGCGCCCAGCGCGCTCGTAGAGGGATTACAAAGTAGCAATCCCTTCACGCATCTCAGAAGAGATGTGAGCCCTCCACCAGGGCTCAGTAAGGAGGTACTCCTCCTTAGGCGCTCTTGACGAGGTGCTCAGGCACCCCGGGCATGGGTCGCCCCAAGAGAGGCATAACAGGCCTGCCTCTCTAGATAACCGGTGCAAACGATAGCATGCACCGGACGTACTTCGTTTCTCAAACTTATTGCGGCTAGCATAAAGTCTTTGAAACCAAGCCTCTTTCCCAACGTTTAAAACGTTGGTGATAAACGCGTTCCAAGATTGGAGGAACGCGTCAGCCTCACGCTTCTTGTGTGGGCCATACCATTGATGTTCAAAAAACACATCGATGTAATAATCGTTCTCAGTGCGAAAGTTCTTCGCACTGGCGTCAAGGCCATGAAGCTTTGACGCATCAAACAACGGTATGGGGAACCGTTCGTTGGTCTTTCCAGACCAACGATCAAGCAGATGCTTAGGTAGCATCCATGGCTTGCGATCAGGAGCAAGACGCAATACGTTGCGGTCTAAAGCCTCCTGCGTGGTGTCAATAGAAGTACCGACACCACGAGCGTTAGTGTCAACAGAAGTATCGACACTACGAGCATTGATATCAGTAGAAGCACTGACATCACCCTTACGGTCCCTACCCGAGTCACTATCCTTCGACTCGTTTGGCGAGTCGTCTGATTCATCAGACGACCCGAACATTTCACGGTACATTGATTCACTCAATGTACCACGATCCCTCTTCGTAACATTTGACGACGAGGTATCACCCCGGGGAGAGCCCGGGAGTGACACAGGTGGCTTTGAGTCGGATGCGTACCAGAGTAGTCAACGGCTAGCTCTGGGTCAACATCTTCACGTGGCGAAGCGCTACGTGAACCTGCAACAGGCGTTGCAGGCTGATGTTGACTTCCAGCAGACACTAATATGTCTGCTGGCTGAGGCTGTGAAGCCTCAGTAGCGGCTGCACACAGGCGTGCAGCCGAGCTCTTAGCTGCCTTAGCAGCGACGCGCATTGACTTTGTCATAGCGAGAAAATTGCTGGAATAAAAGAAAATTCAACAAGTGCTCCTTTCCCATAATCACTAAACAGTCACTAATGTGACTGTTGGTTGAGGGGGGTGATGTAACGGGGTGAGCCCGTTACATAATATTGACACTTAAATGAAGTGTCAATAAAAAATATTATTATAACTAATAATATTTGACAATATTATCTTTTCCTATGATATTGTCCCTAGATCTCCTTCAAGTTGGAGATGCCCTCTCATTGGTTGATATGGGCCATCATATCAACCAACGCGCTGAACAATGACCGATGGACGCGCGCAATGAGTGGAGGGCAAGTTGTCAACATACATAGTTGTAGTTTAATATAGTTAACATAGGTTATAACAGATTAATTTTGTTAGATAGTTAACTATATTAAGCACAATTTTCTTTTCACTCTCAACTAAGCGTTTGTTTAGTTGATAAGCTTCCTCTGCTCACGTTTACGTGAGGTTTTGAGGCACCTGCTTTCACTGTAATCAGTGAAAGTAGACTATACTGTAATCAGTGGTGCCCCATTACACCATGACCCCAATCCCAATGCTTTAATACATTGTTGCTTCATGTATTCGATAAATGTGATAGCACGGTTTCAATCCAAGACGCCGTCCGCAATGTGTGATTATTACTTCGCCGTTTTTCATTCCGATTGAACCTCTCCAATAGATCAAGACTCAGGACTAGTGCTGGTGCGATTCAGACGGAAAATCAGCGACAACGTGAGCGGATGGAAGTGTATTGAGCTGAAACAGATTGCACGTGGTCGTACCAGTCAAGTCTACACATACGACTAACACTGTGTTCTACTACTGCTGCTGCTTGTGTCCCCGTCGTTGTCACCCTGGTCATTGCCCAATTCTAGTTTTGCAAAGTAGCAGCAGGGGCAGTGGTCGCGGGCGGCATCGTCGTGCTAGGCATAGATAGTAAACAACAGGGGTCTCCGTAGCCGTAGAGCTTGCCGCCTACTGTGTATCAGAGCATGCCACTGACTTCTCCAGAAGCATACTCACATCCGCGTGTCTCATCCCTTTGGGACGTACCAAGTCAGCGGGAAGCTTACTGGTGGGGATATACATGAAATCTGGGTGCGGGTTTTTCGAATCGAACAACCACTCACCACCAATGATCTTGCCAGCGCCATCCATCTCCAACAGGTAGATGAGGACATAACCCTCCGTGTATATGTCAGCCTTACCTTTGGACAGCAGAGGACCTTCATCAGATGTCTCAGCGACCCACGTTAGACGAGTCTTCATGTATACGATGCTCTTGACATTTGCGTTCCATGGGTACTGCTCTCGGGCATAGAAAGTTTGAGCTGCTTCCTTCAAAGACAAATTAGTCTGCTCGAGCACCTAAAACCGCGCACGGGCTGGTTGTGCACCCGACTGCCAGCCGTGACGTCCATTATGACTGATTTGCCCAACTTTCCCACGATGTTGGCAAGGACGATGTGGACGAGACCAGGGTTCATGTCTCGAAAAGCAAAACTTTCGGAACTGCCATACTCGTCCTTGACATCGGTATCGTCATCACCATTAAAACGAACACCAGCGGAGACAGTAGAAAGCGTCCGATCATTGTATATATATAACAGCAGTCCCTTTAATTCCAACGGAGAAAATGTTATGTTATTGTACGTCACGGGGCACTTCGGTTCTTGCTCGAGAATCGCTGCAGACGACCAAGCGTGGCATATGCCCCACCACGTCGGGATCCAATAACCGGAATGATGGCCGGTACGAATAGCGCAAACTCTATCGTCATTGAAAAATTTGCAGTCCGTATCAATCTCACATTTTGTTTTGTCTGGCCTGTGTACGTCGATACCCACGTCCTTGGAAATCTTGTCCATGAAGTCCTTCACGTCAAAGCCAAACGCAAGGGCGTACTTTGCTGAAGTAGGGGGCTCACCCTGGTACAACTGAGCGTTAATGCTGTCCTTATAGGTCGCCCAGTGCGAGCCGGGCCACGGTTTTATCGAGACTAAACCTACAGTCAATAACTTGGCCAGGGTCGTCTCCATTGAATGACCCAAGTAATTCTCCAGTGTGACGACCTGGTTGCTCTCAAGTTCCTTCAGACGACGTTCGGTGTGAGTCTTCTCATTAAGCGCATGACCGGAGTGTGGGGTACCGCCCAATCCGTGGCACATTTTTATTGGTATTGTAACGGGGTTACACGACGGTTGTAGCGTCTTTCCGAGAGTTTACGGTTAAACTCCCCTTTGTATTGCATATAATGCATTATTATACTTCTCTTTAAAGAGGTATTAAGTATGAGCGTTAAGATACGGTATTCGGTAATACCGTATATTATCGATTGGGATTCGATAAATCACTAACGCTGTACTAAGTACATCATACACAGATGTTTAGACGATACGTCGTTCAATAGCAAAGTCTGCATATAATAATTACTATTATAGTAATTAATCTAGTGTAGTGTACTTAGAGTAGGACTATTCATAAAATCTTAAAGCATAAATAAAATTAGTTCTCCTTTTGAGTTTAAGATCGCAAGTCTTTCTGACTTGTTCTCTTGTGCACTTCGTGCGTTGGTTCTCTGAACCTCTAAGCTTCTAGCTTGTTCTTGCACTCTGTGCGTTGGTTCTCTGAACCTTAAGCTTCTGCTTGACTGACTAAAGTCTCTTTCCTAGTTCCTTAGAAAAGGGTGACTTTCAGTCGCTTAATTAGTTCCTTAGAACTAAGTGGCTTTTAGCCTTAACTCTATTTAGTTCTCTAGAACTAAGAGGCTTTCATCCTAAAGTCTTCCTCTGGCTGAAGAGTTGTGCAGCTCCGCTACACTTGGTAGCACTTGTAGTCAATCCTACACCTGAGTCTTTAAAGACTGACCCTGTGTGAGGATGGAGAATCAAAATCACCTCTCTGAGGCACAACGACTCGCCTTAGATAAACTATCGGCGTTCGTCGGGCCCGATCAAATCGAGGCCCTTTTGGCCCAAGGCCCCGAGGTTCTAAATGCTCGTCTTGAGGCCTTTATGCGTTATGAAGCAACGCTCCTCGGGCAGGTCCATGACCAGGCAGCGTCAGCTGCGCCTACACAGTACATCCCGGTACCTGTGCCCGATGCAGAGCCAAAGGCTTGTCCACTTGTTTTAAATGTAAAGACCTTCGAGGGGAAGGAGGGAGAAAATCTTCTCCTCTGGATCCGAGAAGTTGAAATGGCAATGGATGCCGCCATGCTTGTATCAGATAAGCAACGAGTTGGTTTGGCCATTTCGAATCTCGGTGGAAGAGCTTGAGAGTGGGCTCTAACGAGCGATGTCTCTGTAAATGCCGCATTCCCCACATGGGAACTGCTTAAGAAACAATTAGTTTGTGTGTTTGCACCGCCTAATAAGGCTTATCGTGTGCGCTCACGTTTCTTAGCTACCCGACAGGGTAAGAAAGAATTGTCGGACTATGTCCATGAGTTGAGAACTCTCATTGCTGCTATGCAGCAGGACCCACTGGCAGAGGAAGTCCGAGTAACCATTTTTATGGAAGGACTTCGCACTGGGGTCGCCAGGACGGAAGTTTTCCGTGTCCAGCCTTCGACGTTCGAGGAGGTAGTAAGCATAGCGTTTAACGCTGAATTTAATTTTAAATCTGCTCGATATGGTCTGCCCTGGTATCAATCAAATACCTCTAACAGGGCGGAACCCATGGACCTCAGTCAAGCTGAAGAAGCTGAGCTTCAAGCTGCTGAGCAGCAAGGTAACATCCGTAGATGTTATATGTGCGAAAGCACTAGGCATCTCCGCCCTAGCTGTCCGTTGCGAAAGCAACGTTCAAATCGGCAAAGCCGAAACCCTGCTCCTAGCCAAAAGGCGAGCACCGCAGGGGAAAACGTCACCTCCCAGTAGGCGCGGGGCGCCCTACTGGGAAAGAACTAAGTTCTGTTGGATCTTTAGGAGGTAAAGGTAAACAGGGCTTAGCCCCAGGTGGTTCTGTGGATGCTCACATAGAACAAGATTACAAGCCAGGCTTGTTGGTTGTGTCGGCAACCGTTAAGGGTTTGGAGAAACCATGGTCAATTTTAATTGACTCAGGGGCGTCAGGTAATTATTTCCGACGTCGTTACCTTGAAGGGAGTCAGCTGTATGCTGAGGCGCTAGAAGCGCAAGAGGGTGACAGTATAACCGTGCGTCTCGCGACCGGTGTACGTGTCACCGTTCCTAAAGTTCCGTTGAACTTAGGTGTGAAGTTCTTAGACTTCAATAGCGTTGAACGCTGTCTTGTCCTAGATTTGGACTCGAGATATGATCTCATTCTCGGTATGGCCTGGCTGGAACGCCATGAGCCGTGGATCGATTGGAGATCCAAAACCTTAGGCGCAACGCGCAATGTTCCTAGCGAAGCTTTGGAGAGTCATGAACCCACCTTTGCTAGGAAACAAAAGTGCTATTGGCGCGAGCCATTAACTGATTCAGTTAGTGTGCTGGACATTGGAGTGTCTGAGTTGATAAAATCCGATGTCAACAATAATAGTGTCGAGTAGAGCTCAGTGACACTTAGTGGAACGGCACGTACTCCGTTGAGTGAAACTCATAGTAATATTGAGACACTGGATGTCGGTAATGACATCGGCTCTCGTATAGAGCAAGTGTAGGTCGATGACCTTGTTAGTAATATTGGCTGTAAATGCGATTTACTGGATGTCGGTAATGACATCGGCTCTCGTATAGAGCAAGTGAATGTCATGGGGTCTGTTGACCTTGGGGATGATGGTATCCCAAGTACTTTGAAGAGTACGGTCTCGTCAATGGGACGGCAGCGTCGCCAGATGGCGGCTGCGAGACGCAAAGCGTCTGTTTTATCGCATAGTAATGTCAGTGACCAGTTGTACACCCTGGTCAACGGAGTGACAGGTGATGTAGATGGTGAGGTTGACCTTGAGGCCCTCCCATCATTAAATGCTCTTTTAGAGCTAGACGAAATGTCTGTGGATGAATTTCATCAGGCCTTGAAGGCAGGTGCTCTATCCAATATGGTGGTCATTCGACCTAACCTCGAGCTGAACTCATCCTCGCTTGTCGATGAGACAGTCCTCGAAGATACCAAAGCGGCACTAAGTGCACGTAGTGGGGCATCTATTCTGAAAAACCCTTCAGATCCCTACTATCCTTTAGTTGAGGAATTTCAGGACGTGGTGTGTCACGATCCACCGTCGGTTCTAACACCTGATAGGGGTGTACGTCATGAAATTGACTTGGTTCCCGGAACCAAATACTGTGTAACACGGCAGTGGCCTTTACCCAAAGAACAGTGTGACGTCATTGACGAGTTCTTTCGTGCAAAGCACGCGGCGGGTATGGTGCGCGAGAGTAAATCTCCGCACTCGACACCCACTTTCTGTGTTAAGAAACCGAATGGTAAATGGCGTATCGTTCATGCTTACAATAAGCTCAATGCAGCCACTATACCTGCACAGACGCCAATACCTAGAAAGGATGTTCTTCAGAACAATATGGTCGGTTGTACCATGTACAGTGCGCTCGACTTAGTCGATGGTTATTACCAATTGCTCATGCGAGCTAGTGACAATCCGCTTACTGCTGTTAGTACTCCGAGCGGTATGCTCTGGGAGTGGTTAGTGATGCCCCAGGGGCTATCTAATGCTCCGGCTACGTTTAACCGTTTGTTGACGCAATTGTTTCGACCCATCGAAGTTATGCATAGACGTACGTTGATGACATTTTTGTCCATAGTCGAGCTGAACATGGGCGGTCAGATATTGAGAACCATATTGTTCATTTACGAGCTGTGCTCGAGTGAATGCGCACTAATAAGCTATATGCTGATGCATCTAAGCGCATCTTCGGGGCCGAAGAAATTCCCTTTCTAGGGAGCTTCATTGGGAAACGGGGCTTAAGAACGGATCCCGCCAAGGTTAAAGCCATAGTCGATTGGCCTGTTTCACAGTCTCAGAAGGACTTTCTTAAATGGCTTGGCCTTGCCAATTACTTACACAAGTACAGCGAGAATTACGTTGATATGGCTCGGCCGTTATCCAATCTCCTTAAAAAGGATGTGGAATGGTGTTGACATGCCGAACACGAAGATGCTTTTCAAGAGGTGAAGGCTAGCCTTCTACATGCTCCTATTTTGGCTTTTCCAGACCCTGATCGACCGTTTAGCGTCGTCTGTGACGCGTCGTATTTTGCCATTGGTAGTGCTCTGTTACAAACAGATTATGAAGGCCGTGAGCGTGTAATCGCTTTTGAATCTCGCCAGCTGAAAGCTGCAGAGAAGAACTATCCAGTTCAGGACAAAGAGCTACTGGCGATGAAGTATGCCCTGGTCAAATTCAGAGTTCATCTGCTGGGCTCAAAGCTTTTGTGATCTATACCGATCATGCGTCGTTACGCACTGCGACTCAGTCGCCGCATCTCTCGCAGAGATGGCCAGATGGCTGTCATTCTTTGCCGAATATAACTTAGAAGTGAAATATAAGCCGAACAAGCAAAATGCTTTGGCTGATGCGTTGTCACGCAGACCTGACTATGAGCTTGCTCATGTGACGACCTTGTCGTCTTCTATCATTGATCTCATTCGATCGGCGTATGCTTAAGATGATCACTGTATAGCGTTGCTACATGCTCTTGGCAGTGATGAGTTTAAAGACTCGGACATTAAATTGTCGGCATGATTACGAGCGAGCCTCCATCGATATTCTATCGATGAGGGGCTGTTGTACTATCGTACAGATGCGGCGGATCCTCCGCGTATTGTGGTTCCTCATGACGAGGACCTGAAGTATCGTATCCTCTATGAGGTACATGACACCGCCATTGGTGGTCATTTGGGTCGTGAAAAGACCTATGGGGCAGTATGCCAAAGTTATTGGTGGCCCGAATTATATAAATGGGTGAGCACATATGTGCGTACGTGTGAAACGTGTCAACGGGTGAAACCCTCGCCCCATTCGGCAGCGCCGCTGGCTAGTTTGCCTATTCCCACTGGGTGCTGGGAGTCCATTAGTATGGACTTTGTATTTGGCCTACCGAAAGATTCGCATGGCAATACAGGTATTGCGGTCTTTGTTGACCGCTTGAGCAAGATGGCTCACTTAGCGGCTGTGCCAGATTCGATCGATGGTGTGGGTACAGTGGAGCTGTTTATCGATCGTGTGTTTCGCCAACATGGCTTGCCAGTGGCAATTGTTTCTGATCGTGATCTTCGTTTCACGAGTAAATTTTGGAAGTCCGTCTTCCAGGTGCTGGGCACCCGTTTGGACATGTCCACAGCGGATCACCCGCAGACCGATGGTCAAACCGAACGCGTGAATCGCGTTGTTGAAGATATCCTACGCAGCGTTTGTGCTGAAACACCTAAGCGATGGAGCGCTATGCTCCCTGTAGTTGAGTTTGCACTCAATAATTCCGTGCACGCCTCTACCGGCTACACTCCGTTCTATGTCAATGGTCTCACACACCCACGCGTTCCGTTAACGCTACCACCGAGTGGTTCAGGGCTTGGTGGGGGAGAGGTTGCCGATCGGCTTGCTGATGTCAGCCCTAATACTGTTAAGAAACAGGTAAATGCGTTTCTCGCAACGCGGCTAAATGTCTTACGACATGTGCAAGATGCAATGGCTGATAGTCAAGATAAACAAAAGGAATATGCAGATGCGAAAGGCAGAGGTTGTATTAATGATTATGAGGTCGGAGACCAAGTATTAATAAATGTTAAAAATCTACCATAATGTAGTATCTGCTGTCTTTAAGACGAAGTTGCGCCCACGCTTTATCGGACCCCTTAAGGTCATTGCCAAGAAAGGCACAGCGTATACGCTTAACTTGCCGCGCAAATTGCGTACACATCCTGTGTTCTATGTTGGCATGCTCAAAAGGTATCGGGATCCGTCCCAAGTAAACACTAAAGCGCTCGCGCCGAGCCCACTGGCACTGTCGCGGGACGAAGCATCTGCGCCAACAGGTCAAGCTGACCCTGCATTCGGGTTCGACTCTCTTCCAGGGACTTAAGCCGGGAGTTCATCGTCTGCCTCTCCTCACGAAGGGACCGCACCTCTTGAACAAGCTCGGCATGAGCTTGTGCCGATACACCGGCCTCCTCCGGCTTTGCTCGATGCGCAGGGGAACCTACAGTTCCATGTGGAGCGTCTACTGCAGAAGCGTCGCCGCCATGGTCAAAACCAGTATCTGGTAAAGTGGCGGGGTTATCCCGAGTCGTGGAACTCATGGGAGTTCGAGGTTCCCCTTCGGCAGGATTGCCCGTACGCCGTGGACGTTTTTGAACGTCGTGCGCAGGGCTAACCTGTTGGCGATGGTGTTTCCCTCCCGCAGTGGTGAGGTCGAGCGAGCTCACGGCCTCGGCCTGTCGTGAACTCGCGGCTACAGGAGTAGCCGAAACATCGGAGTGATGGGTAGCAGGCGTATATTGCGTTCGTTGAGACTTCAACTTTCTTCGGGCCTTCAGCTTAGCTTAATCGTAACGCATTTTCCGTTGGAGACGAACATCTGCCACGTCGGCACTTGCCCGTAGAGCCAGTGCTTAAACGTCGCGCATAATGCGCCCAGAGGCTAAAAGCCGCATCTTCTTCCTCTTCGGTTACTCCCGCGAATAGAAGGATGGGAACACCCTTTATGGTAGGAATTGGTGCACACGCGCACTTGCCTAGTGAGGCGTGCCAAGTATTGGCTTTGCGTAGTGATATGGGGTTCCAGATAGCGTTGTCAAAGAGCCGATCGCGTAGCGATATCCTCGGGTGAAATGGCCTCAGGCCCAATGGCCCAGCCAGAAAGGGAATGTCCAGATGCTTCCTTAAGGCGTTCTTCCACTGTAGGTGGCTTGAACCTGGCCCTGAAGCCTAGCCATATTCTTCGTCCGGCGCTTGGCGCCTTCCTCTTGGTCGATGGTCTGCTGTTGCTGCTCGTCGAGTGGGTTGGTAACCGTTACCGTTGATGATACGTCAGGCGGGTCACGTAACGCTGTTAGCGCATCTGCAGCACCACGTTCAGGGAATGGATTCGGTGCATGACGAGTGTCATCTTCACCCGTGAGGGTGGCTAAAGGGGACCCATCGGGTCCCACAAAGACGGTGTCACTTTCGTAATCAACCGCTTCGTCAAGGTTGTCTTCAATGAGGTCCCGAAGAGTCTGTGACTCACTGCCAGGAGGCGTCATGCTATGTGCCGTGAACATACCGTTCGCTAAAGCACTACCTCTAAGAGGAGAAATGTCGAGTGACATTCTATGGGAACGTCAGTCTGGTGGGGGAGGGTGTAACGGGGTTACGCGACGGTTGTAGCGTCTTTCCGAGAGTTTACGGTTAAACTACCCTTTGTATTGCATATAATGCATTATTATACTTCTCTTTAAAGAGGTATTAAGTATGAGCGTTAAGATACGGTATTCGGTAATACCGTATCTTATCGATTGGGATTCGATAAATCACTAACGCTGTACTAAGTACATCATACACAGATGTTTAGACGATACGTCGTTCAATAGCAAAGTCTGCATATAATAATTACTATTATAGTAATTAATCTAGTGTAGTGTACTTAGAGTAGGACTATTCATAAAATCTTAAAGCATAAATAAAATCAGTTCTCCTTTTGAGTTTAAGATCGCAAGTCTTTCTGACTTGTTCTCTTGTGCACTTCGTGCGTTGGTTCTCTGAACCTCTAAGCTTCTAGCTTGTTCTTGCACTCTGTGCGTTGGTTCTCTGAACCTTAAGCTTCTGCTTGACTGACTAAAGTCTCTTTCCTAGTTCCTTAGAAAAGGGTGACTTTCAGTCGTTTAATTAGTTCCTTAGAACTAAGTGGCTTTTAGCCTTAACTCTATTTAGTTCTCTAGAACTAAGAGGCTTTCATCCTAAAGTCTTCCTCTGGCTGAAGAGCTGTGCAGCTCCGCTACAGGTGTCCTCATTCTTGATATTTTCTTTACCCGTCTCAGAAGGCGTTGCACCGACCCCGAGGCCACGTATGTGTATTCATTGAGGTCGTCGGTGAGGTCACTGACCACAACATTGATGCCAAACTTCAGATAGACGGCATCGGGAGGTGTGGATTGATTGCACAATAAGTTTGGATGCAGCACAACAGTCCGAGAGATGGTGGCCAGGTCCGGTAGCGTCGGGTCAGGATGCGATTCAAATCGGCAGATGCTGTCATCGACTGCCATACCGAAAACCATCGAGTATGTGGACTCAGTCGAGGATAGAATGGCAATTGGATCAGAATCCAAGGAGGTTGCAGCAGCTTGCTGCATCTGCAGCACTACAGCACTATGGCGGCCACGGCGGAGGCGACGAGGTACATGGAGGGCGAGTAAACCATCGTGCAAATACAGTCGACCGATGATATCGGGAAAAGCACGAATCAACTTGGAACGGAAGAAGACTGTTTAATCTTCTCGAGACCGAGAAAATTGGGGAATGCTAGTAGAATTCATCCGGTTGCAAAATTGATGAACCGCGGACTATGATGCAACGTGCCGCATCGCCCATCGCCAGCATTTTTCTTGCCCATGTACGCGGGATTCGACAACTATCGCGCATCGTTGTCGCGAAGCAACGTTGTTGACATCGAAAAGGCGCGCAAAGTCACTCCACTTTGACCGAGGTCTTGCTGTTTATTTATTTTTGCATGTACTTGCTGCTAACTGTCGTGAGTAATGACATGACATGCAACCAGCACTCATGTCTCTGCAATCCAGACGGTTCCTCTGATGTTTTCTTTTCTGTACTTATAGTAGAGACTTCACTTTGAGCCCAGGCATGAGAACCACATTGAGGCCCAAGTGCTCCGCGTGCACTTGAGTAGTTGCATACATGACCATGTGATATTCTTCAACTAAAAGCGGATCATAGACTTTTTGCAGTCAATGTGAAGCATACTTAAAGAATAGACATTGTACCGATCTGCACATCATTTCCACACCATAGCGATACCTCACTGAGCTCTCACAGAACCGCTTATCAATGTTTTTGCGCTGTCGTGGACTGACGAGTGGATTTGAACCGCGTACAATGTTGGCACTCACGATTGCGCAGTGATGATTCCCACTGACCATCTTTCTCTGATCAGGTCAAAAGCATACAGTTAATTTTTGCTGCATCGCAGGAAACCGTCTTTACCACCACTTATTACTTACTACCTACGGCAGCTTAGATACTTTAACAATGTAAACACTGGAAGGTTTGCTAAAGCGGCTTACGTAAACGTCTAGGATTGAAGAAGGTAAACGTTTTGAAAGTAGGGTACAACGATGACATTCCTGACGAAGAATAGTTCTTAAAAAGACGAGGTATTAGCTATACACTCTTCACGCTGGACATTCAGGGTTTTTCATATCCATCTTATACATCTGTTCTAGTCTTATTATAAATCGAATCATTGTAGCATGTCGTGACGCAGAAGGCTGGCTCGCAGCTTTTGTCCCGAAAGAACAGCGCATTGAACTGCTCTTTCTTCAATTTTTTTCATTCGGGAGGACGATTTTGCTGTTGCAAATTACTTTGTGGAACATGTTAAGCTCACCTAGTACTTATCTTTGACTCCGCTGCCATGGCTACGGAAGCTGCATGTCGGAAGAGGCTCCTATATTCCGCTGACTCATACGGATATATATTAAAGTCTAGTGCCAAGGGCTGTGTCACTGGTTGTGAGGAGTCCCAGACCACCGTAAGCTTTGTAATTTTACCGTCTCTAGTAGACCAAAAGCTATCTGGACGCAACACGAACAAAGATATTGCATTTGCTACGCTTAACTCCAGTAGCGACCTTCATTTGAATCTCGGTCCTTTGCTTGAGTGCACTGGCATACAAACAAATAAACATTCGACCTTTGAATTGTTGCATTGCCTCAAATCTTGTGCTTCTAGTCTACGTTGCCGGCGTAGCGAGTACAGTAGAAGCGACAAGGATCAAGTGTGCAAGATTGACACTTAGATAGAGCAGAACGTCCATTGAGTTGCCACTTGAGAGGAGTGACGTTTAGGGCTACATGGTAACTTTGTTCGCTGCTCGTGCAGAAAACGTGCCACCAAGGGATCACCTATCCAAGTCTCATAATCAGGCGGGTCACCGACCATCACTCTTACTTTTATTTACAAAATAGGAAGTTTCGTATAAAATGGGTAAAAATGTATGATTACGCCATCGGATGAATCAAACGCATCTTTTAAACGTTGTAAACACTTTTGACTTAAAACCTCATTTACCCACCCACAAGTTACGATAACGTCGGTTCTTTTCACTTTGTATCCAATCCCTCTCTCAAGTAATAATGTCAGATACCACCACTAATCCCGCCCAGGGAGACATGGCCAAGCAGGAAGAGGACTCGCGTAAGGTCAATTTAGTGTCCATGGATGGCGACAGCTTTGAAGTCTCTCGTAGCGTCGCCGCCATGAGTGAGTTGGTCAAGACGCTCATATCCGGTAAACTCGTGGTTTATTATTGACCAATGAATGGAGAGTATTGTGGTTAATAAAAAATATGTATACAATGGTATAGATGATGCCGACGACGAGGAAGTTCAGGAGATCCCTCTGCCTAATGTCAAGAGCCCTGTTTTGTCCAAGGTGATTGAGTTTTGTAGCCATCATCACAACAATCCCATGCGTGAGATTGAGAAGGTCGGTCAATGGTTGGATGGATATATATGGCAGTGGCTGTAATGTATACTAATATCCGGATGCCTGTATACGTGCTATTGTAGCCACTTAAAAGCGCCGATATGCACGACGTTGTGTCGGATTGGGACGCTAATTTCGTAGACATTGAGCAGGAGATCCTGTTTGAACTCATCTTGGCTGCCAATTACATGGACATTAAGAGTCTCTTGGATCTCGCCTGTGCCAAAGTGGCGAGTATGATTAAGGGCAAGACACCGCAGGAGATTCGGGAGGCATTTAACATTGTTAATGACTTTACGCCTGAGGAAGAGGCGCAGATTCGGGAGGAGAACAAGTGGTGCGAAGAAGCGTAAGCCCTAGAGGAGCATTGCCATGTTTATTGACAGAGAGGACAAGGAAAGATGCCCAAGTTTTATCATCTGTTGTACGTCCTTCTGGTCAATATACCAGCAATTGATGAAAAGGACCAAGTGAGGACGACCACTTGGTGTTTTCTGTTGATTGCAGTGGCAGTATGTGCTTTCTACAGCAAATATCAGCGGATGGAAGTCGAGAGAGAAGTTTGCTTTGAACGCATTGTCACTTTTTGAAGCTGCAGTATGGCACGTTATCTTCATCCAATGCAAGAAACATTGTTTTTATATTCGTTTTCTCAACTATTGGTTGGTTTGGACAGAGTGTAGATTGATGGGATGAGATTCAAGGTGTTTCATCCGTAATTGCGCGATCTCTTTGAGAGAAACAAGACCGCAAACTCAACGGGATGGCTCGCTCGTATAAACGTTTGCTATTGCAGTCACTTGTAAGACCTGGCTGCATGAGAAGGCAATGCCGAGTCTGTCGCAAATAGGACTGCGAAGTGGGACAAAGAGAGCTCAAAGGCTTCACCACTTGCTTTGTATGGGGTTCTAGATACAACATGCATAGCACACAACTTCTTGATGACTTGGATCACTGCCAGGCGTTTCAATAATGACGAGTCCCAGCGCTCGTCACACCCTCCTGTAAACGACTGGCTGACAGCCAAGGCACAGAACCGGTTGAAACCGGTTAAAACGGACAAACAGGACGCAGCACTTCAACATGTCGCTATGAGGTGTCAATTGTATCTCGCTTACCATCGAGCCTCCTTATATTGGTCACTCATCGCATTTGAGTAAAGCTGGAGCTGTTGAATGCAGCTGATGGACCAAAGCTACTAGTCGTCGTATTGCCACCAAAACTAGAGCCAAAGCCTCCGCTGTTTGCAGCAGCAGCACCAAAACCACCAGATTGCTGGGCAGCTCCACCGAAGGTGGAAGTTTGTGCTCCGAAAGCGCCAAATCCTGATCCAGTAGCTCCTCCACTAGAAGCAGCAGGTGCAGCTGAGGCAAATCCTCCGCCCATACGAGACGCCATCCCAAAGCCCGAACCTGTAGCTCCACCAAAAGCTGGTTGGGTCGTGCCTCCCAATGTCGAAGCCGATCCGAATGCAGGGACTGCACTCGCTATTCCTAAACCCGACGGTGCCCCAAACCCACCACCACCAAAGCCTCCACTTGTCGAGGCCATCGGGGTCTTTTTGACATACTTCTGCTCAAGCATTCCAAAGAGATGGTCTTCGCGACCCCGGTACTTTTCCAACGTTGCATCCACGGAGCTTAGCTTGGCGGGGTTGTATTGCTGATAAAAGGCTGTAAGCTTTTCGCGGTAGTTTGCACGGCCAGCAGCTCCAAATCCGCTAGTAGTTGTCTCCCCAAATGAAGTGGGTGCACCAAATGCTGGAGGCGTAGCAGAGGTCGATTGAAATCCACTACCAAACCCGCTACCACCCGCAGACCCGAAGCCACTGGAAGTTTGAGAAGCTGCACCAAATGGAATTGCTGCGGGAGTCTGAGCTGTGCCAAACGGAGATGCTGCTGGGGAAGGCTTTACTGCACCGAAACCAACCGAGCTAGCTGAGGCTGAAAATGCTCCAGTTTTACCAAAAGGGCTTGTTCCTGCATTAGGCTTGGCAGGCGGCACAGCCGGACTTGCAAGCAGGTTTGGCACCCCTCCATTTGCGTCAGTCACCTTGTACTTCACAGCAAGACTCTGAAAAAGCTTCTCTTCGTTTCCTTTGTACTTCTGAAGCGTGGCATCTACACTGCTGAGCTTGTCCGGGTTGTGCTTCTGGTAAAACTCCACCAGCTTCTGATGGTAGTCGTAGTCGACAGCTGATTTGCCGAAAGGAGGTGTGGTAACTGACGATAATGTTGAAGAAGACATCACCGCTGTAGATCCAAAGCCACTGGACGACTTGTTTGCAGCGGGTCCGAGGCTACACGCCGAGGAGGGTGTCCCAAATGGGCTCAACTGAGCAGTAGCTGACCCACCAAACGGGCTCTTGGCTGTTGCAACTGGTGTGGAAGATTTTGCAGTCGCTGCCACGGACTCTGATTTCGAAGGGACTGGTCCTCCATTTAAATACTTCTTGACAGCATCGGGCATCGAATCAGGGACGTACATACTGAAGAGCCGAGTGAACAAGTCTTCCTCCCTGCCCTTATATGTAGTCAGAGCCTTTTCAATCACGTCTCCGCTAGTCTTTGACGGATTGTGTACCTTGTAGAACTTTTCCAAAAGCGCCTTGTAGTCCGGCGTCACAGAGCCTATAGTACTCTTCGCGTCCTTCGATCCAAAGCTAAAGGTATGAGTGGATGCCGGGGTTTCTTTCCCTCCTAAAGAGAACGCAGGAGTTTGCCTGTCGTCAGCTTTTAGTTCCAGCTTTACCGTCGGCGAGTTGTTTCCAATCCCGCTAAACGTCGAAGTAGTCGATACAGTCTTCGTGTCGTCTGTCTTAGCGGAAGCTGGTGCAAACAAACTTTCAGTTTCCTTAGAAGGCTTCGGGAAACTAGGTACGCTGAATAATGCTTCAGTAGAAGAGGTCGCCAACGCAGATTTCGCCTCGGTAGTCGGCGTTCCAAGACTTGGTCTTTGAGGCGCTTTGCCAACACCTACACTAGGTCTCGCTGGCTGTGGGGTCTGGACAAGTTTGGCAGGCTTTTCCTTCGGTGCCATAGCTTCTGCCAGCGAGAACAGTTTTGACCCAGATTTGACAGGGGTGGTTTTGAAAGACACGGACCTTGATGATTGCTTTGCTGAGCTCATTGGGGAAGCGACGCTTAACTGCATTTTTGGCATCAACTTGCTGCAGGCTTTGACTCGAAGTGGCGACGTCGAAGAGTTTGAAGGCGAGGGAGGAGCTAATTTTCGCCGCGGTGTTGAGAATACATCACGAGGAGTAACCACATTGTTGCATAGAGACAAAAAGTTGCGACGCACATCCTGACTACGTTGCTCTGTCTCCACAATCATTTCGATCATGTCCGCCTTGGTTGCAATGGGATGAAATTCACTTTCAACAGCAGTAACTTCACCTACACCATTAGCTTGATGCTTGCGATCGCCACGCAAACTCAGATTTTCCAGATTTTCAGCCAACATACACACTTTGTTATACTGCATTTTTGAAGTGTCATAAGTCTGCTTCAGCACACGGAATAAATGCGCCGAAGAAACTGCACCAGTTCCACCGATTGGGGAAGAGGATAGATGGCTGTCAAGTTCAAGACAGCACTTTTCTACCTCATTTAATTTACCCTTCAATGATTCCCAAGTTTCCTTCGATCGCTGGTCAAGCGGTTGCGCTTCCAGAGTTCTCTTGAGGACCTCGTCACTAAAGCTGTTCAGGATCTCGCGGCCATACTCGAGTTGCTCGTGTACATCACCGTCACTTCCGATGACGAACAATACATCCTTTTCGATTTTATCCCGTGACTCGTCTAGGTTGTTAACCTCATCACAGAGATGTGATAATTGAGCGCGTAACTTATCCGTTTTTGCCAGAATATTCTTTGAAAACGCAGGATCTTTAGATAAAATGCTCTTCGAGCTCTCGTTCACCCGTTGAAGGGACTTGTTGAACTCCACGATCAACTTCCACAGCTGGCCCTCCATTTGTGAGGAAGGAATGCTCTTAGAGGGCTTAGCGGGGGCACAGATAGGCATTGTTTTCACCTTTGCCGTTGGGGTCTCATTCGTCTTTACTTCATATGCGTTCGAGTCTCCAAAGTTCAGCGTACGCTTTGTTGGAAGATCACCTTCAGATTCTTCAGTTTTATCCAACGTTGAGGAAAGGGTGTCAAATGTAAAGCTCGGTCGTGCCGCGTTAGTTTTCCATGTAATATCCTTTAGACCATTGGCACTTGTTGACTCGAACGAAAACGCACCCTCCGAAGCTGGTTTTGAAACGACGCCAAATCGCGATGAAGTTGTGTCCGTGGGGCCATCATTACCAGATACACTTCCGAATAGCGATTTTGGATTCGTTGCGGTAACAGTAGACGAGTTATCACCTTGTCCAAAAGAGTTCGTCGATGCTGATAACCCTGCCTGCAACTGAAAAAAATTGTTACCGGAAACAAACGAAGACGACGATGTTGTCTTGCCTAAAGGCTTCGGCTTTGAAGTCGTGTCCGGAGAGTAGCCGCTCTTACTGGCAGCACCGAAAGTAGGAAGCTTTGGCTTTGAAGTCGTGTCCGGAGGGTAGCCACTCTTACTGGTAGCACCGAAAGTAGGAAGCTTTGGCTTTGAAGTCGTGTCCGGAGGGTAGCCACTCTTACTGGCAGCACCGAAAGTAGGAAGCTTTGGCTTTGAAGTCGTGTCCGGAGGGTAGCCACTCTTACTGGCAGCACCGAAAGTAGGAAGCTTTGGCTTTGAAGTCGTGTCCGGAGGGTAGCCACTCTTACTGGCAGCACCGAAAGTAGGAAGCTTTGGCTTTGAAGTCGTGTCCGGAGGGTAGCCACTTTTACTGGCAGCACCGAAAGTAGGAAGCTTTGGCTTTGAAGTCGTGTCCGGAGAGTAGCCACTTTTACTGGCAGCACCGAAAGTAGGAAGCTTTGGCTTTGAAGTCGTGTCCGGAGAGTAGCCACTTTTACTGGCAGCACCGAAAGTAGGAAGCTTTGGCTTTGAAGTCGTGTCCGGAGGGTAGCCACTCTTACTGGCAGCACCGAAAGTAGGAAGCTTTGGCTTTGAAGTCGTGTCCGGAGGGTATGCACTACTACCAGCAATAGACGCAGAGACAGTCGAACTTCCAAAGGCCAGTCCAGTAGTACCCGTTTCGGAAGTAGTCGAGCTACTTGGAAAGCTAAAGCCCGAGGTTGGCGCCGTGTCACAAGACGAAATCTCACTAGATTTGGTGGCACAAACCGTAGTAGCACCTGGACTTGCACCGAAGGAAAGCGACGACGGTTTTGAGGTTTCTTCCGTAGAAACTGGAAAAGAGAACCCACCCGAACCAATCGAGCCTGCAGACGTAGGAGCACTTGCCGCGGTTACCGGAACTACCGATTTTGGCGCAGCAGGGTTTGGAGCCTCGCAAGCGCTACACTTTATTGCTTCGGGGTCATTGCTTACCATACACACACCGCATTTCCAGCTTCCTTCCTTGGCCGATAGTCTCAAAAATGCTGCAGCGATATCCTCTTTCGATTTCATTTCGGCGGGCTCCGTTGCCGATGATGCAGGTGTATCCGCATTATCATCTGAATCCGAGTCATCATCACCGAAAATCCAATCGACATACCACGAAACGAAATCGGCCTCATATACCTTTCCATCCTTCTCAAGACTTTCCAATGTTTTCGCATGCTCTTCCTCGGCATACGTAGATCCCATAGCTTTGATAAGCTTCGGAAACTGCTCTGAAAGAATAAAGTCTGACCCATCGGACGCAATCGTGCGGAACGTGGTTCTGGCTTTATCTTCTTCTTCTTTGCGTTCTTCTTCCTCATCACTCGATTCTCCGTCAGATTCTACAAACTCATTCTCATCATTCTGACCATATTCATGCGAGATTGCGTTTTTTGGAGACAGCAGTGCACCGTCCTCCTCGTCAGAGTCGGAATTATCGAAGATCCAGTCAACATACCAAGAAATGAAGTCAACCTCGTATATCTTGCCGTCTTTCTCCAGGCTTTCAAGGGTGCTAGCTTGCTCTTCTTTAGAATACGTTAATCCCAGAGCCTTGAATAGCTTTGGAAGTTGCTCCACATTAATGTAGTCAGTTCCCTCTAACGTGATAGAGCGGAATGCATTCCTGGCGTTAGCTTCCTCCTCCTTGCGCTCTTCCTCGTCATCACTCTCATCTTCTTCCGACGCAGCAAACTCATTTCTATCGTTTTGGCCGTACTCGTGCGACATAGTTTTCAGTGGAAAAGACGGCTTACTTTTTTCGACAGACTGATCCACGGAAGGGGCGCCTTTACTAGCAGAAACAGCGTCATCGCTACCGCCATCAAAGTTACCGCCACCAAAAGATGCCTCATCAGGGGATCCAAAGCTTACTCCTGTCGCAGGCTTTGTGGTAGGCAAAAAACTAAAGCTCATTTCGGAAGTAGTCGAGCTACTTGGAAAGCTAAAGCCCGAGGTTGGCGCCGTGCCACAAGACGAAATCTCACTAGATTTGGTGGCACAAACCGTAGTAGCACCTGGACTTGCACCGAAGGAAAGCGACGACGGTTTTGAGGTTTCTTCCGTAGAAACTGGAAAAGAGAACCCACCCGAACCAATCGAGCCTGCAGACGTAGGAGCACTTGCCGCGGTTACCGGAACTACCGATTTTGGCGCAGCAGGGTTTGGAGCCTCGCAAGCGCTACACTTTATTGCTTCGGGGTCATTGCTTACCATACACACACCGCATTTCCAGCTTCCTTCCTTGGCCGATAGTCTCAAAAATGCTGCAGCGATATCCTCCTTCGATTTCATTTCGGCGGGCTCCGTTGCCGATGATGCAGGTGTATCCGCATTATCATCTGAATCCGAGTCATCATCACCGAAAATCCAATCGACATACCACGAAACGAAATCGGCCTCATATACCTTTCCATCCTTCTCAAGACTTTCCAATGTTTTCGCATGCTCTTCCTCGGCATACGTAGATCCCATAGCTTTGATAAGCTTCGGAAACTGCTCTGAAAGAATAAAGTCTGACCCATCGGACGCAATCGTGCGGAACGTGGTTCTGGCTTTATCTTCTTCTTCTTTGCGTTCTTCTTCCTCATCACTCGATTCTCCGTCAGATTCTACAAACTCATTCTCATCATTCTGACCATATTCATGCGAGATTGTGTGTTTCAAAGAGGTAGTGTTATCTGGAGATACCGTGTTTGACGTTAACTGAAACTCACCCGTTGCCGCATTTTCTAACGCCTTGGGTTCATCCTCTGCTGCAACAATACGAGTCACCTTCTTCTCAAATGGCAACGGACTTTTCACAAAATCGACTTCGCTCACAGTTGTGTCAACGAATGCAAAGTTTACTAAAAGTCCTTCTGTGTTGGAGCATGAAATAATGGGGACAGGCGGATATGCGTCTTCATCGACAGGAACTGATGATGTCGAATTTAAATTCAGGGCAAAACCCATGGGGAATGATTCCCCATCCTTGACATTCATAGGAAGGCGTGCCTGATACTTTTCCAGAGGTTTCCATAATTCCCACTCGCCGCTTTCAGGATCTGAAACAAGCAACTCTATATCTGCGCTCAGCGAGCAGCCGATGAAAAACATTCGCCAGTCCGGTAAGAATGCAGAGAAATATTGATGCCGTCGGTTTTCGACATCGAAAAACCCGACAACCTCGTCTAGCTCCATGCATTCACCATGCTCAAAAATGCAGGCGAGAGCGCTTGTTTCTTCGTTTTCTTCATCGTACTTCTGATATCCAGCCAAAATTAAGTCTTCCTCCGCCCAATTTACGTGGTGAACTTCAAAATCCGCATCAGCGCAGCACTTCGGCTTGCCAATAGACCGCGCAATCCGGAGAGAATTCCATTCGTAAGTGGCAATCGTGCTGTCGACCAACCCAAGTGCAATCTGTTTTCCTGATGGGGACCAAGAAACTGGCATTTACACACACACAAGTAACTAGGTTAGCATTGTAGCTTTCCAACAATAAACTTCATGCACGTACTAGACGATACGTCAGTTTGTAAATCAATAATATCTTTTGCCCCGTCAAGTGTACACACGACCACGTTCTTCTCAAGCGTCAAGACCGCCACTCGGTCACTCTCAGGGTCCGTGCACCATGCAATCTCTTGTGCTTGTAGCTTGGAAAACGTATGAAAAGGGGCTGGATTCACCTATGTTTTATAACAACATATAAAAATTACAAGATAAATATTAACAGATAGAAGACAAGGGTCAATAACTTCACAATAGAAAAGTGTCTGTCCGTACCGCCTCGAGAATGTGTGCGACTTCATAAAGTGCAACTGCATCGGCATAAGCCACTGCAACCAGGAGCTCATTTGAAGAGAGTGCGATCCAATAAGCAATAGATGGCAATTGAATCTCTTTGGTTCCTGGTAATTCATAAATCTCTTCCAATGTAAGTTTCTGTCCATGATCCAAAGCTTCCTGACGTCGTGTGCCATAATCAATGCACGACGTCTCCAGCACGTCATTGGTAGTCATCATGAACCCTATACAGTAAATACATATAAATTATCAAAAGAATATTACTTATTACAGGTGCATGGGTTTTATGAGGTGATTAATTGATAGAGGTTATTACCTTTTGCAGTCGCCATGAAGCTCAGACCGAACGTGTTGCCATGTTGCAACAACTGCGTCTTGGTAGAGACTACTGAGTCAAAACAATTTGATGTAAGAGGTGAGGAATATGCGACACGTTGTCTACCAGCGTCCAACATGCGCACGTGCTCCGTCGCCCGCTCCATCGGTCAGTAACTTGAATGGATCACGACGTTTTTTTGTATGACACACAAATTAATGAGTGGTTTGGCAATATTATTGTTGGAATTTTAACGATTTGACCAAAATTTAATTGCGTTTTGTTTTTGCAATTTGGGCGGTGAGGTTTGAAAAAGGTGAAAAAACTGCTTAAATACCGAATTGAGATGGAACCTTTTGTTAAAACACAGCTGGATCAAGCAGGTGAGAAGTACTTGCCTCGTTAATACGTTCATACACTGACGAATGATAAAATGGTTTTAACGTCCATACAAAATGATAGTAACATGTAAGAACTCGAGCTAGTCGAGTACATTCCTGCCATTATTTTTTGCTAAATGCATCATTCACGCCCTTGATAGTCCAGTAATTCCGAGCACAAACAGCAGCACCACAATATCTTCGACTCTGCCTAGGCTTGTAGATCAGCAAACACCTTTGCAAGCAAATGAAAATATCGTCCGATAACTGGAACGTCTGAAACAAGTAAACCAGCATTCCCAATTGCAGGACCGTTCGAGATTCCAGTTAGTCTTTCATCAGTGTAAACGACGCACCTAGAGTTGTTGAGCAAGAAGCGCAGCATTTGATCAACGACTTGCCGTTCCAGCACCACATCCGCTTGCAGTAGCCTCTTGAAGCATTGCTTCCGCCAAGTTTCGTGAAATCAAGCTTTCAACCCCTTTTTTTAGTTGCTTGTTCGAGTCCAGCTCGTAAAATTCTTGCCGGTCAAATGAACGATCCAGTTGCTGTAGGTACTCCATCAACGAGTACAGATGTCGGGATTCAAATGTAGTGGGAGACTCCTCCAACAGACGTTTAGCTTGTTCAAGTACTTCAGACCGAAGCACCTTTGGTGCCTCAGTTGAACTCACTAGCCACCCGAGCCACTTGGCAGCTTCCATAGACACAAATCGAAGTTTACGTTCCAGGCTTGCTTGTTCTTTCTTACTATCGGACATCAGAGAACCGACACTTCTCAACAGTGCCTGCAAGGACTCGCGGTCGTCTAGCACCAGACGGAACTCGCGGTAGCGTACCAACCATGCCAGCTTTTGCGGACGCGCAAGCTCAGGATGTGCCTCTAGAAACTGCACTGCTTCGTGCAATGGAGTCAATGAGTCTTTGTCGTTGCACTCATTCAAGATCTCATCGCAAAGAGCATCCACGTCGTCCAGGCAGTTACTACGCAACAACCACTGTAGTGCGGATGCGTACGCCTTCTTAGCCTTGCACTCCTGCGCTCTCTGAATTGTTATATGCCGAAACGTGTGTGCCAAAAGTTGTTTCCCGTGGCAGTACGCAAGAAGACGCTCAGTCTTGCAGTCGGTTTGCAAAGGTTCGCGCTCCAACGCAGATCGAATCGCAATAGCTCCGAACCTAGGACAATACTCGTAGTACCGCACTGCAAATTGCCACATGCCACTGCTCGCGCCAATCTCCATGGCATATTCCAGTAGGAAGCGCTCTAGCAAAGAGCACTCCGCTTGTGGCACTACTTCGTCGGCCACGATCACGTTACTTTTTTGCAATAGGTCCGCTAGATGCGCGGCCATCCACGATAACCCAAGTGCAATGATATCCTGCAACGCACTCTGGATATCAGACTTCATGATGGCCAGAATAATGCAATCAAAGTTACCCATCCGAGTCTCATCATCATTGTAAGCCTCGAAGCAGTTGGTCATCAGAAACTGGTAACGATTTGCAATAGTTTTTGGTTCATCCAGGAACAGCCGCGCCATCATCAGTTCGTACCAAGTGGTTGCATGATTCTTCAACACATCCTCCTCAGCCACCATAATCTGCAATAGCGTCTTTAGTCCGTCATTTGCCTTAATGTATCCTTCTGTATTGAGCAAACACTGGCACGCATTGTTCCAGTTTTTCCACTCTTCTGGTCCATCCTGGTCCACACCCACATTCATTCTTCCAGGCATCGTCAACAGCAGCTTTTGTACCGCTTGAAACACTGCCTTTGTAGACGCTCCTGTCATTGACATGGTATCACGGGAAAACAAGGACTTGTAGCTCGAATGCGAAGCTAATAAGCTCCAGGCACTAGGACCATTTCCCGTCATTACGAGAGACTGAATTGTGGTCCAAAAAGCTGTCTCCTGCTCCGGTTTCGGTTCTTTCTTCAGTCTTGTACTCTCTCTCTCTAATTTCTCCAGCAGTTCACTACAGTAATGCTCTTGTATCCATCGTGCGAGATCATAGGCGAGCATTCGGTCTGCTCCTCTCGCTCCTTGACGGAGTAGAAAGAGCTCACACAAGTGCCAAATTGCCAGCGATACATTCATCAAGTCTAATAGTTCTTTATCGTCCTCAACAGCTTCGTCTTCTTCTTCTTCTTCGTTCTGCATCTCTAGACGATCTTCTAGAGTAAAAATGCACGTCTTCAAAGCATCACGATACTCGTGACTGACACGTACAGCATCACCAACAATTGCATTGAATTCCTGTGTCTGTGTGCACGTAAACACATCAAATGATGTCGCCACTAACGTGCGTAATTCTCGTGGCATCACGTCACCAAACTCCCGAGCAGACGAGGAGATTGTGGTCCATTTACGTGCGCTCTTGCCCCATGCAGCCCCTGCTGTCGAGTGTGCTGCTGCTTTTTGACTTGATTGTTTGCTAAAGACCAGCTCTTTTTCTACCACAGGAAGTTGCTGCGTCGCGCACAAGATCTCAAAGGCACCAGGTTTTGAAGCCATTTAATGCTATAGACGGTCGGGCTGGTCCACTAGCTCTTGTACGTGGTTCGGGATCAAGTGTGTGTACGTGTTGTGGTGTGGGTTTGGAAAAGACTAGTGTCACTAAACGTTAAAAGAGTGATGGTCAATCTAGTGTCTGCTAGCGCTCGGGAAGGACCTTTCACGTGCAGATCGAGCATCCACGAGCTTTCTACGATCAAAGACACCATCGTCAAGGACAGTCACCACGTAATAGAGCAAATTCAAGCTACTGTCGATGTTGCTACAACAGAATGAAGCGTGTTCATGTGACATTCGCTATCATGAGAGCGTCTGTAACTTAAACGTGAATGAAACGACCGAGAAACTTCACTAGCAAATTGCTTCCCATAACTATAAGAAGTCGCCAGTCGGAGATGAAAAATATGCAACTGCTACATTGAGCTATTCGAGCACAAGGCCACACCGAGGCACCAATCGCGTCGTAAACGAATCGCCAGCAATTTACTCGTCGTCGCTCTCTTCTTCAGCGTTCTCCAGCCATTCAATGAATGGCTGCAATAGAGCCTTCAGCTTCGCAGCAAGCTCATCCTTGACAGCCCAGTGTGCGTACTCCTTGCGGACGCCGTTGTGAACCCAAGACACGAGGCATTCCTCGTCCAACAAATCCTCGTCATAGAGCAGCTTCAACAGGATCGGATACGACGTCAGCAATTCTTGGTGTTCCACGGCGCAGAAATGCTCAACAAGTGCGATCAGCTGGTACTGCGAGTGCTGACCATCGATAATTTTCTCCAGCACAGGCGCGTATTTAGCCACTTGATTGCTCGCCAGCACTTGCTCCGTGAAGGCAGAGCGGAAAAAGATCACAAGACGGTCCGTGACGGGTAGAGCCGAATAGGTCTGCTGGCGGCACAATTCCTCGAAAATCTCCGTCTCCGAGTGGCTCTCCGACAGGAAACGCTTCACGTTCGACACAGCTGAGTCCAGAGCGTTCTCGTCATCCACCTGAAGGTTGTCCAGCGTCGCCACGACTTCTTCCGCCGCTGCAGCCTGCATAGCGGCCGCAGCAGCAGCTTCAATGGCCTCAGCCTCTGCAGCACGAGCTGCCACAGCTTCAACAGACAGGTCCGTGTGCCACACCACCTTATCGTCATCATTCTCGGCACCCGACACATCCTTATCAGAGTTTTTCTCCTTGTGGTGCTTCTTTTTCTTGTCTTTCTTGTCTTTCTTGTCCTTCTTTTCTTTCTTTTCCTTCGTACCGGTTGTTTCATCTTCAGGTTCATCGTGCGACTTCTTGTCCTTCTTCTCCTTCTTCTCCTTCTTATCTTTCTTCTTCTTATCATCTTTGCTGCTACGTTTTGCAGCAGTGTGTTCCTTAAAGATAAACGTCGTAAGCTTATGGTTCATATCCACCGGTTTCACGGCTCCACAAGCATAGCATTTGTGAAAAATCAATTGACCTTTAAACTTGTATTTCGTCTCCGGTAGACGGCAATCAGGACATAGCACAAAGCCTTCAATGTACTTGGACAAATGTTGCTGCATCATACCAGCCTCAAAAGCACCATTCACAATCGCACGATCGGTCTTGTCATCGTATTTTGACTGAGCACCAAGTTCACAGCCAAAAAACTTGCACACTTCAGCAGTAGAGCGATGAAGTGACGTTGCAATGTCAGCACAATTGACAACCAAAGTCTTAATTCCATTGCCACGACCTTCAATCTTGGCTTGTAGTTTTGGCATCTTGTAGCGGTATTCAGGGTCATCCACTGACTGTGTTCCTGCAATATTCATCAACGACATCTTGATGATATAGTGTTATTTACTCCTTCTATCTCTTGGTCTTTAGTAAAGGAAAAGAAAGAAAACAAATGACTTTTGTTACTAGCTACGAAAAGAATGTTTGATCCGGTCTCGTGAGCAAAATCACGTATTTAACTGAAGACAGAAAAGATGAATGGTGACGATGGGGATGATCCGGGGGATGACGTACAATAACTTCCTGTCTCTTATGTTTCCACGTCGACGTACTACTCGAATCAATTTGGTCACACAAGATTTGCAAACGCATGCACTGTAGCCAAATTGAAGAGGGTCGCTGGGCGAAAGAAAAAAGAAGAAAAGAGACTTGAAACGGTCGATACAGACTCGAAAAGGCTTTCGTAAGGCGCAAAGAACACGTCGACGCTTGCGGGCCAACGGTGCGAATTGAAACTGACCACTGATGGCTTTTGGTCCACACGAACGATACATGAGTGGCTAAAATTAGGTATTAAATTGGGAGATGATTGGTGGACGGAGGAATTGCATAAATGGATCTCTCATAAAGACACGTCTAAATTAGTGTGGTCCACCGATTATGTACGACCCTTTTTTTTACTAAATAATCAATGGTCATCCATACCTTTTCGCCTTCATCAATGTATGGATGCCAGGGAAATCATACAAAGCTTAACGGACACTACTTATCCCTCTACGTCACACAAGAGGGGTCTGTAAACATGACAAGTTTCACCAAGTACACCCGCATAATGAGGACCATAAAAATATACGTCCGAACAAATCGAATGCGACACCTTTTGTCATTAATACCGGTATATCGAGCAGCTACTAGGGTGTCCCAAACCGGTATAATATACCTAAAGTAAAATATTCTCGACGGTTTTCTATCGATGCTTAAAAGAAAAGTATTCGGTTCCGCAGTTTTCGATCTCTCTTGGCAGTACATGGAAAATAAGCAAGTGGCTGATATGATAAACAAGATTCTGACCCGCTGGTGGTATGGGTGATGCTTCTAGTCTACATAGTAGTTTAATGAAAGCTGCTTTACAACTGTTTTGTGAGCGACGATACGGGAAGCTGATGAATTTGAGTCCACCTGTAGTTGAAGTCTGACCGCTTTGTTGATTTGTGTAGGGAGTGAGCTCTTTGCAGCTGAAGTCCTGTATGGAGTGCCATCATCGCATAACGAGGGTCGAGACACTGACATTCATTAGATGCGCTACTTGTGCGCGTAGATTCCCCACCTGAGGGCGTCTGCATCTTCCCGAATCATTTTCTCAATACGCCGAACGCTTTACATGTTCGGCATGTTTTCTTGGTCGAGGAGGGCAAGACTGAAGCATGCTTAAATGGGGGATTGACACTGTACTGGAGGACGGTGACGATGCCTAATGCTTGCAGTGTTATCCATATCACGAATTACTACTACCCCTTCCATTACCTACTCAACATCGACGCGATACTTGCTTTTCTATTCTTCGGGCGCGGGCCAGGCTTTCGTCGACCAGAGCCATCTTGAGAAAAGAAAAAGTCAAGAGGCGTCTTCATGGAGACGTCAGGTTGAATGGGAGATGCATCCACTGGCCACGGTGTGAACAAAGTTGCATAGCATTTCAGATAGTTCTCGATCGAGTTTTGCTTCGTGTCGTACAGCGAATCGATACGGCGCCGATCTAACTCTGCGGCATGGATCGCATGCAAACACGGGAAGTGTTGATCTTGCCAATCTTGACACGTGCATTCCCAGCGGTCAAGGTTGACGTGACGCCAGCTGTCTGGGATATTTAGTCGCGTTGCGCCTAGATAGCGCACCATGTAAAGCCCATTTGCGCAAGGAACTGACTACAAAGCGTGCATTCAAACAAAGTAAGCATCGATAAGCCTCCACAGAATAATCACAACACGTCACATTACCTCGCAGCGCTGGCTACCTTGTAAAATCTGTTGTAGCTGCTCTTCTCGCCGTGGGACAAGTTCGTGTGCTGGGCGGTGCTTTACGGATTGCCGACGCTCGTGAAAATTGTCGGCAATCTTTGTAAAGTACTGGCTGTACGTGTCGAGCGGTTGCGAACTGCAAACGGGATCTTCACCAAACCATTTGATATGACTCGTGCTTGCGTGTTGTGAGAAGAGCTCGTCACTTCCCAACGCCATCGAGAGATCAGAAGTAAGCTCGTTAAATGTTGGCCGCTGAAATGCCTCAAGAAAAGCGTATTTCACCCAGTTTTTGCGGTCCAGTTCATCCAAATATGCCACAGCTGCCTCGTTCGTGCGGACCAGAGCTGTGTGTAGCGTATCAAATTCAGATTTGCTGTCACTGCGCGCTAGGTCGAAAATGCTTTGCTTCTTTTCAGACGTCATGGGAACCTTTTTAATCACCATTACTTCGTCTTCAACAACACGGCGCATACAAGAGTGGTAGCTCGCTTGAGGCCACACGGTCTGAATCGCCGTCTGTAACCCATGGGCACGCCCTGCAATCACCGTGTATTGATTCCAATCCGTCACCTGTGTACTCTGTAGTTCGCGTAGGAACCACTCCCAGGTCAATTCATTCTCTTGATTCACAAGCGCAAGCGCTAAAGTGATGACTTCGTCGTTAAAATCCTTTATCGAAGCCTTCAGGTAAACTCCGCAAATCACGTCATCATTTCCATCGCCCTCTAGTTTGCCCAAGGCTGTTTCCGGTAGCTCCTCGCTGTGTGTGATATGATCCAGAGACACAATTTTGCGACAATACTGTACAGCATGTAGCGTTGCATTTGGAATAAATAGAGCGCGTTGAAACGCACCGTCGTCCCTCTTTTCGAATCGAAAATGTGAGCCCGGGTTCTTCTCTGCAACTACTTTCAAATACCCATGCAGCTTCTGGAATGACGTCCGTACTTTCGCAACTCTCTCTTCTTGAAGGTGTCTTTTGATCCGGGAAGACATCATGTGATTAATAGTGTGACCCTGTCGAAGTAGAATGCGTCGTATTATCTTCCCGTCCAACTTGGCCATCACTAAATTAGATATTGGATACTTGTTTACCTCGTCCGTCACCATCCGACACAATGTTTTCATGGACATGGTTGTATTCCGTTGAGCTTTCACTCGTTGTGGCAATATAGTAATTGCACACTCCGTCTCTTCTGCAGCTCTTGCTTCATTCTCTTGCCTCTGCAACATGACAATAGCAGGACTTGATACTGTCTTAGGTATCTCTTGATTGTCCGGAGTAATACATGTAGTAGCTGGTGGTATAGGAGCTTGTATCAAATTTGGCTTCAAAATTGACGCTCCTCCTGTCCGACATCCAATAAATTTGTAGTGATTATGTAGAAAACAGGCCCGCGTAATCTTCCAATGCTGGTTCTTACCATAGCCATTAATGTAAAAGGGACATTGCAACTGATGAACTGGTGTACTCGAGTCAAAAAATTGCTGTCCATGTAACTTTTTACAGCGATATTTAACATTTCCACCACCATTTGGACGTGTACTGCTACCCGAGACGTACAATTGAAAACCACGTTGCATTGCAAATTGTTTGCATCGTTCCTGTAGTAATCGTTGACTACGAAAGACATCAATACCACATCCTGCCATTCGATTTCCTCCTTTTTTCTCATAGGCAACACCAAAGTCGGGTACTGATGTATCATGATTTACAGGTAAATCTTCAAGTAATAATCCAAGTTTAATTGCCTCCTCTAAATCTGCTTTATCGAGACGATTAAATTGTGATGCGAGGGGTAATGCTCTAGTAGGTATCAAAGGTTTTCCTTTCGTATCATCTTTCTCGTGTACTATCTCAGTAGAAGAACGCAGAAGTACGTGAGGTTCATGATATGATGATGCCCAATTCTGCGAGTCCTCCATTACGTTTGACAGTTTCACAAAAAAGACTTGCAAAAAAACAAAAAGGGTTGCAAATACCGGTATTCTAACGCCAAGAAGGGGTACAGAATCAGATCCGTCCTCTTTTTCGTAATTCAGTCCTATCTGAGTCAAAGCACCCATTTTTCACAAAATTAGAGATTTTGCGTCCATGTATCGACGATTCGGACGTCAAGTCCGTCACTGGAGTTCTCGTATCAAGTCTCCATCAAATGTCTCTTCCCGTTCTTCAAGACCTGGTACAGTACGTATAACAAAGACATATGGTGCTGAGAAACACGAGGCTGAAGTGGATTCAACTCTTGCTCGTATTATCGGTTCCGATTGGGGCGATCGTTCTCGTCAGCCCGTGTCACTGCCCATGCGCATTTATTGGATCGTCTTTACGGTCGTATTGGGCAATGGATTGTATACGTATTGTACGGGCAAGGACGAGTCATTTTTCGTTGAGAAAATCAAGAAAAAAGCCGATGAAAAGATGAAAATTCAAGAAAACGAGAACGAGTTTATGACGTTGGCGGATGAGAAGGAGGATTCAGAAGGTAAAGGGACTATAGTGAAGTCAAGTGAACAGAAGAGGACGATGCTTCCGTCGAGTGTTCCTGGACTGCCATTTATGGTGCCGAACATGTCGTTGCAGATGAATGGACGTCATACAAAGTCAAAGAAAGACTTGGAACAGCAATTTGAACAATTGTGTGTGCAGCAGGAACGACTGCAAAAGCAGATTTGTGCCGGTGAAGAAGGAGTTGCAAAGGACGAACTGGAACATCAAGTGCGCATGATTGACATTCAGAAGGAACAGATTAAGCTACAGCTCAAACGGTTGTAAAGAACGAAGCGGTACCATGTGGCTATTGCTTGATGATTAATGAAATAGACGCGACGACAATGAAGCAGGGGTGTCAGGCTAATTTTTGGAGGGGTGTCTCGTACTTGTAATAGCAAGGGAGACAGCTCCACCAGCAACAACACTGATGACCTCTTGGTTGTTGTTTGTGAAGAAAGCTACCTTTGTCAATGAAGCACGGTTCGTATTATCACCATGACCTGTAAAATATGTCAGTATCTGTAGATATCAGTCGAGCCAAGAGGTTAACCTTACCAAGATTGCCGTGTTCTCCCCATCCACAGGTGTACAGATCTCCACTTTGTGTCACCACCATTGAATGCTCACTGCCGCAGGCAATTTGTCGGACGCTATGAGGAAACACAATTTTCGTCGGCTCGGTCGCGTTTTCAAACTGTCCAAGACCCAGTTGTCCGTGACTGCCTTTGCCCCATGTCACCAGGTCTCCACGCTCGGTGAGGCACAAAACATAGTGCCAACCGCAGCTAATTTGCATCGTGCAAAGACCTTCACTGCTGTTACTTAGATTTGGCACACGTACAGGTAATCCATTCACCTGCTTTCGTCTTTCACTCCGAGCCGAAGCTACAATCTCCTGCACGCCTAATTGTCCGTGCCGATTGTTTCCGCATGTAAACACCTCTCCACTTGAGGACCGAAAGACGGAGTGTTCCCACCCACAGAAAACATTGGATACAGCCATGTCCTTCAACGCATGAATGCGCTGTGGGATGGATGCTACCAGAGTATCACTTCCCAGTCCAAGCTGACCATGACGTCCACTTCCCCATGCGAATACATCGCCTACAGTAGTGGCAAGAAGTGAATGCTTCCAGCCACAGGCAATACTCGCAACTTGCAAGCGCTGAGGCAAGTACACAATCTGCGCAGACCCTAAGGCTTCATTACTGTCGGAGCTTTCGTTGCGACCCAACTGGTGGTGATCATTTGAACCCCATGAATATACCTGATCTTCATGGTTGTCGTCCGATTCCGACGCGACAACAGCAAGCGTATTCCACCATCCGCAAGCAACTAGCTTAGCTTTCTAGTGCACAAAGAAGGCAGAGATGTTAGCCAAAGTTTACACTCATCAATTGGCCTCTAGCCACGTTACACTTTTGTCTGGAATGCATTTCACATGCTGCCTCGGCACGGTCACGTAATTCTGTCCTCGCTTCGATGCAATACGTCCAAGTTGACCTCGATCGTCTGATCCCCATAGAAAAAGTCGACCGTCGCTGTGGATGCCTGATAGTAACACAAAGTGATGCAAATAATTTGATCTGATCGAGAAGTTTACCACTGTTTGAATCATCATTAACGTACCTGCACTATGACAACCACCGGATGTGATCGACTCCATTTGGACGGATAATGGACTAGTGTTCCAACATTGAGGAAGAGTGTAGTCGTCGAGTGTCCCCAATCCAAGCTGTCCAGAACCTCCTGAATACGTATCGTGGAGTCAGAGCCTAGTACTGCAGCAAAAAGATATTGAAAGGTGTACCTGATCCCCACACGTACAACCGTTTCTCCATGTACAAGATTGACAAATATGCTGAGCGTCTAGTCTACATCGAACGACCAATCATATGTTCTACCTTCGAGCTGTCATGGAGCACTAATGGTGGGTGATCCCTTGAGGATTATTGTACCTTTACAAAGTTAAATTTGTCTTCCTTGAAACCATGTAGGTGCATTCTGTCTGTCGATGCTGATAGTCAGACCTCTTTCTTGTGATTATGCAGACGACGGATTTCATTGACGATGAAACTGTGCAAGTGCTTGTAGCTCATACAGGGCAATCAATGTCCATGAATTAAACGTAGTTGTATCTCTCAAAAGAATGAAGTGTAGGGATCAAAGTACGTCGAACTATTGCTGGAACTTATTGAACATACCCGACAGCTTTTTCTCAAGTACTGGGTCGGGTGGTACCTTCTTGTTTTGTTGCTAATTGATACGATTAAGGTAGTGACATTGAAGCGAATAGAACTAAATGACTACACTCGTCTTGACAAATGCAAGTATTATAGGTGCTCATGCTTTTTCATCCTCTTCTTACGCGTCTGTTGCGTCATTAAATGCATCGACTGATCCACGCCACGTCACATTCCGTCATCACTTGCCCCCAACAACCAAAAGAGTAACACTACAGTAGACCCAGTCTTGTAACGGTATCAAAACAATCATCCTCGAGCTCTGTAACACTTGGCAATGCACATCCTAATCATAACAATATCATCATGACTTGCACGTAAGTGTGTCATCATCAACCTCATTGGCATCAGTAGCCGTTACAAACCTGACGCGGCCTTTCGCATGAAATGGCTACATTACGTGTCCCTGCTTGAAGCTGAACAAGAACCGGCCTGTTTCTTTCACTTGATTTTCAGCCAATCCACATCTCGTAGCTGATGACTGGTTGGGAAGGCCGACAAAAGTAATTGTAGTGACTTGATCAAGTCGTTTGCGTCCCTTTCCGCTTCAATGATTGGTCTAGAACTTGAACATTCATACAATCGTCCAGTCAGTATCCGTCAAAGACGTTTCGAACCCCTTTCTTCTTTTGATGAAATTTTGCCTCGTGCTCCACCAATGATGTCAGTCTCTTTCTCTCTCTTTCAATAAAAAAAGAAAAAAAAAGGTTTTCCCCTCTCCGCTAACGTACAGGTATGTAAATTCGCTGCTATCTCCTGCTCTACTTGACGCTACTGCATCTATACACTAGGTCTAAATAGCCCTGTGTCTTGGCTCTCTCTCCATCTTTTTATCGTCCTCAACTTTTCTCTATAACAGACACAATCACTGACTTTCTACCATCTCTTATATACTGTAGCCATGGCCAACTCTGCATCTTCCCCGACCAACAGCCCGACCCCTGCCTCTGCTCCAGCCGTAGCCACGTCAACGGCCTCCTCCTCAGCAGCTTTGTCAGCCACGGAGGCTGCGCAGCCGTTCCATACGGCGTCGTTGTACGTAGGGGACATTCATCCAGACGTGACGGAGGCTCTGCTGTTTGAGATCTTTAACGCCGTCGGACCTGTGGCCAGCATTCGTGTCTGCCGTGATGCCGTGACACGTCGTTCATTGGGCTACGCCTACGTGAACTTCCACAATGTGGCAGACGCTGAACGTGCATTGGACACGATGAACTTTACAAGTATCAAGAGTGTCCCATGTCGCATCATGTGGTCCCAACGTGACCCATCGCTACGCAAATCGGGTGTCGGCAACATCTTTGTCAAGAGTTTGGACACGTCCATTGACAACAAGGCGTTGTATGACACGTTCTCGTTGTTTGGCAACATTCTTAGCTGCAAAGTGGCAATTGACCCCACCACGGGCAACAGTAAAGGCTATGGCTATGTGCACTATGAGACGGCAGAGGCTGCTACGGAGGCTATTGCAAAGATCAATGGTATGCTTATTGCAGGCACGGAGGTCTATGTAGGCCACTTTCAGAAACGCCAGGACCGACCGGACGCTGATGACTGGACCAATTGCTATGTCAAGAACATTCCTACTCATTGGACGGATGCTGACTTAATGAAAGAGTTTGAGCCTTTTGGAAATGTACTCAGTGCTGTTGTGATGAAGGACAACACGAATCCAAGCCAAAACCGTGGGTTTGGTTTTGTAAACTATGAGGACTCAGATGCCTCCCACAAGGCTGTGGACGCTCTGAACGGCAAGGCTTACCCTACTGGAGAAGGCATGGAGACTGAGATTTATGTTGGCAAAGCCCAGAAGCGCTCGGAACGGGAACGTGAGCTGCGCAACAAGTTTGAGCAGCTGAAGATTGAGCGTATAAACAAATACCAGGGCGTTAACCTGTACGTAAAGAACCTGGATGACCAGCTGAGTGACGACGAGCTGCGTGAGGCGTTCGCTGAATGCGGCACTATAACGTCGTCGCGCGTGATGCGCGATCCTAATGGAAATTCGCGCGGCTTTGGGTTTGTGTGTTTTTCGACCGCGGAGGAGGCGAACAAAGCCGTTGCGGAGATGAATGGCAAGCTGATTTCTGGTAAGCCCGTGTACGTGGCTCTTGCTCAACGCAAGGAGGTGCGTCGTGCTCAGCTTGAGGCCCAGCACGCCCAGCAGCGTGTTGGTATGGCAATGGGCCGCGGTATGCCGATGGGCCAGCCGCCTATGTACGGAGTTGCCCCGATGTTCTACGGACAGCCAGGTCAGATGCCGCCCCAGGCTCGTCAGGGCTTTATGTACCCGCAGCAGATGATGCCGCGTGGTGTTCAGCGCGGCCCGATCCCGTACGGCGCCCGTATGCCTGGTGCTCCGGCTCCGGGTGGCTACCCGATGCCTGGCTATGGCATGCCGATGCAGCAGCAACGTGGCCAGCCACGTCGCGGCCGCCAAGGCCCCGGTCCACAGGGACCCCAAGGAGCTCCTGCTAATCGCCGCAACTTCAAGTACACGGCTAACGCTCGCAACCACCCAGCTCGTGACGTGCCACCTCAGGGCGTGATGCCGCCTCCCGCTCCCGTGCAGAATGCTGGCCCGGAACCGCTTACATCGGCTGCTCTGGCCGCTGCTTCGCCGGAGATTCAAAAGAACATGATCGGTGAGCGTTTGTACCCGCTCATTCACCGTCAGCAGCCTGAGCTGGCTGGCAAGATCACGGGTATGCTGCTGGAGATGGACAACGGCGAGCTGCTGCACCTTTTGGAGAGCCCAGAGGCCCTGGAGGCTAAGATCCTGGAGGCTCTGGCTGTGCTGGAAGCCCACCAAAGTTAATTGGTCTTTTGCTTGCGCAGGCGTCTTGCGGTGTCCTGTGTTTGGCGGGGGAGGTGGAAACGGGCTTCCTATTGCACACGCAGGGAAGTCGTGGAGGAGAATGTTCGATAAGCTGCGGCTCCTGCTTTTTGTGTCGTTGGTACTTGGTCGTCGTGGCTTTGGTGGTGCTGGAAGGAAGACACAACAAAGAAGACTCAAGGTCACGAGAGAAGACACAATTGGTGGGGGTCGTAGCTTAACGAAAACATGAGATGAGATGAACTCAAAAGCTCTGCTCATGACGAGCCCTCGGTCTACTTCCTCTTGCTTTGTCTTAAGTATGGTATTGCATCTTGCACCTGAGATGGTTTTTTATTTTTATTTTGCAACGACGTAGATAGTTTTAGTCTCCATTTGCCATAATCTTTTTTTCTGACGCCATGGCCTATTTGTTTATTTTTGCGTCCTAGGACGAGAAAAGAGTATACAGTAAGTGAAGTGGTGCTACCAAATTGTCAATTTGAGCAAAATCTGTGTCACAAAAATCATTTAGTCCGACCTTTTTTTTTGTGACGACATACTTTTTGACGATGCAATTTCGCTTGGTGGTGGTGAACCACCTGCTGCGTCAGACGCCTCTGATGATGGGAATGATGCGTCCTGCATCGTTTCCTCATTCTACGTCGATGCAGATGCAATTGCGTTCCATGGGCGTGTTCTCCAACATGAAAAAGACAGTATCAGACAAATTGGAACAGCGTAATCAGCAGAAACAAGGTACAGCAGCCAACTAAAAAGACATTACGAGATCAGAATTGAGTCATGTTACTGTATTTGTATTGTAATTAATTATTGTAGGGGATGCGTACAAGCAGCAGATGATTGAGCTCTCGGAAAAGGACAAATTTGATCTGAATGGGTTTTACGACCACCTGAAGGTGAGTGAGGAGAGAAAGAGTCGAGAGTAATCGTAGCATTGGGACTATTAATGGATAGATTGTGGTTTTGAATTGTACATATTGTACTAGAAAAATGCTGAGGCTAGTGGTGCAAGTGGCTGGCGATCCATGATTCCTGGAGTGTCGACAATGGTGAGGGGCTTTTGAAGCTGCTTGGATGCATCTAGAATTGGTTTTCATAAGGTGATGCTGTTATCTACTAGACTGCTGTTCAGCAGATCAAGATTTCCATGACTATTTTGGAGTCGATGGAGGTATACAAGATCAACGGAGCAATGTGCTGGTTAAATGGTCGTGCTGATACTTGTATCTATCCTGTACTTGTTGTTGTAGCCCGAGTACCGTGAGAACCCTCGTCTCATTAATGGCAAAGTGAAGAGGAAGATTTCGGAAAAAGCTGGTCATGTACGTTGCTCTTCTCTCTCGTGCAGTAGTGGATGCTGGATTTGCTAATATGTGTATATTGTTGTTGTGGCAGTCTCCGGAAGAGATTAATAACATGCTGCGTAACTACGAGCAATTGTCTGCTCTTCATACTTGGATTCGAAAACGTGTCGAACGTGGGCTTTGCATTCCCGAATCTCTGGATGAAACGACGGAACTTGTGCGTCAGGACCCAACCGGCTTCCCCGCCAAGAAGTTTCGGTAATTTTACTGTTTTCAACTAGTCCTCATCTTCGGTTACTAACGTTAAAACGTCGTTTTTTCGTCATTACGATAGGATGAAACAACGTCGATACTAATTTTCGGATGTGAGTCATCCTCAAAGAAAACTGCCAATCTTTTTGTCATCATCCATGCTCTTTTCATCCAATCATATCTCTTTATATTTATGTTTTGTCCAAAACGTCGCGTCACCATTCGCTTAAAAGATACCTCTCTGAAGTAACAAAATGCCGAGCTTCCACCTACCTGAAGATCGTCTCCTGCCTGTGAAATTAGATGATTTTCGGAATGTTCTTATCCGGTATTGTATCTATTATGTTATAACTAAAGTGTATCCATCTCTATAACTCCTTGTAAATTCTTTCCTAATAGTCAAGAAGAGACAATTATCTTTGCACTAATTGAACGGGCTCAATTCCCACATAATCCAGAAGTTTACGTAAACGTGAAAGAAAGGTACGGTATGATTTGATATTCACTTGAAGCAGTACTTTTTTGTCATGTTTGTACTGATTTATGTTATGTTACCACTGATTGATGTTATTTTTTTTACTATTGATTGATGTTATAGCAAAAGTGCAGCATTTGGTGGATTAAAGGGAAAGTATACGACATTTGATGGCAGTCTATTGGAGTTTATGCTCCTTGAGACGGAGAAATTACATGCTTTGGCACGTCGATATACGTCTCCGGATGAAAATGCTTTTTTCCCACATCTTTTACCTGAACCCATTTTGCCCATTGTGGACTACCCGCGGGTCTTGAATCCTAACCGGATTAATATCAATAATCAGATCATGAGTGTCTATCAAGAGAAAATTCTCTCTGGACTGACGATACACAATAGTGATGACACGGCGGTACGAAGAAGGGGAATTGAGTCATTATCTTGAAAAATGAGGGGGGCGGGAGGGGGTTCTCACATGGGTTTGTGTGTGTGTGGTACTCTTTTTTTACTTGCTATAGTACGGATCTACTGCAACAGCAGATATTGCAGTATTGCAGGCGCTTAGTAAGCGTATTCATTTTGGCAAATTCATTGCTGAAGCCAAATTCCAGGCAGAGACGGAACGGTACACAAAACTTATTCTTGAGAATGATGCTGCTGGAATCATGGAGGCACTTACCAATTTGACAGTTGAAAAGGTTTGTTTTTGTTGTTTCGTGGAACATGTGGGATAATATTGAGCATAATGACTCTACTAAAATGGTTTGGAACCGTGCCTTTTGTGCGTTGATCAGAAAGTGCTTGAGCGTGTAAAGCAAAAAGCCTCGACTTATGGCCAAGACCCAAATGCTCCAGCTGCGTCATTTGAGGAACTGAAGGTGGACCCGCAACTGATCTCGGATCTGTACCGTGACTTTGTGATGCCTCTTACAAAGGAAGTGCAAGTGCAGTACTTGCTGCAGCGTATCGCACACCCGTCGATCGCTGTTGCGGGTGTGGAGGGCTCATTTTGCTGGCTGGCAGCACAGGCGCATTTTGGAGAAGAAACACTTCAGAAAGAACAGTTGCTACAGGCCGAATCAATTAGCAAGGTCTTTTACAATGTCAACGCAAACCGCACGGCCTACGGTGTCGTTCCTATCGAGGATTCTCATCTGGGAATGATCAAGGAGACGCAGGCACAGCTGATGCGTAGCTCGCTGAAGGTGTCTGCTGAGATTGTAATTACGCGGTCGTTTGTTTTTGCGGCTAAGGACAAGCACCTCGGCAAGAACTCTGACGTGAAGAAAGTCTTCTGCTCTACGGACACTGACGCACGGCTGCTTGTTCAGGCAGAACAAAGCTGGCCAAGCGCGCAGATAGTCGCGGTTCTCAATGTCTCGGAGGCAGCGCGTCGTGCTTTCGATGAAGTGTCGACGGTAGCGATAACTACGTCGACTGCCGCTGCGTCTAACGGCTTGGAGGAGGTTGACACGAGCCATGCGCTGGCGTCTGAAGGTATTGTCTTGGAAGGGAAGTCATCTTTTATCCGCTTTGTGATTGTTTCAAAGGGCTACCCCGCGGCCACCGGGAAGGACAAGTCATGTCTGGGCATGGAGATTGAGCATGAAGTGGGCTCTTTACTCAATGCACTGGATGTATGGAAGAACCACGGAATCAACCTCACATGTCTCGAGTCTTTCTACAAACAGCAGGGTGGCTACGGCTTCTTCGTGGAGATCATGGGCCACTTTGACGATGCCTGTGTGCGTCAAGCTGTAGATGAGCTGCAGTCAGTTTGCACTGTCAAGCATCTTGGCTCGTTCCCCATTGCAAAGCGCCTAGTCCAGAGCTAAGCGCTATCATTTCACTGTATGCAGTTGACAAGGAGCGCATGTACACTCCTTGATACAAAACAGTGAAAACACGAAACGCTACTTACACCATGTGTTGCAACTGCAAAACCACAAATCGTACGAGCTTTCATTTGTCAAGTCTTGTTTCCTCGGCTCTCCCTTATTGCAAGTTGCGGCCTAATTGTAAATTCACCAACGTGATCGACCGTTCTTGTCATTCAAATCGACAAACTCTGCATCAATAACGGTCTTCTTACGACCTCCAATAGATGAATCACGTAACAAATCAACCGTGTCCCCCGTTTGGCGATTGCAATCTGCAAAAAAAAACATCAAACACGTGCATTAACTACTCAAAACTTACTCATCCAGCAAAAACAAAAGACCATACAAAGAGCTTACACTTGAGCTCTGTCAGATTCAAGTTCCCTTCTTGATCAATCGAAGCCTTCACCGTCACCCGTGCAGAGCTGTACGTCCCATTGACTGGAAAAACTGCTTCAACATGTCCAGCACCATTCATAGCTGCATAACCACACAAAAAACAAAAACCCATCAACATTCATTTGTTTCAACCTACCAATGCACCTCTTTGAAAACGTACTCGACTCCATCCACTGCTCTGGTCCACCAACACTAACATTGTCTCCCAATTCATCCCGTACTTGTTTACTCCGTTGCAAATGTTCAGTAGCTCGTCGTCGTAATTCACCTGCTCGTTCCATTGAGCTCTGCATCATTTTTCCCACAAATGAAAACATCGTCTTGACAACACCTCGTACAATTAAAGGCAGTCCCTGTACCAGCGAGTTCAAATCCTCTTGTCCTGTCAACTTGTCACGTCGATGACGACTAAACAAGTCGTTTAGTGTCTCAATATTGGAATTCACATGTCGAAATGGATCACTTGATCGAAAATAGGATCGATAGGGTCTGAAAAATCGCTGGTATACAGTATACACTCCAAACCCAGCAGCTCCAGCAATAAGTAGACCAAAAGCTACTATAGAAACAAATAGAAATATATATTAATTTTTGTAAGTATTAATTGCAATATTATTTTAAAAATTATAAAAAGAACTACGTACATGATGTGGACACAAGAAGTGCTCCTGTACCCAATAACACTAACCCTCCCGTTTTTAACGTAGATTTCCAATTAGAATCCTTTTGCCATGGGTTTTTTGCACTTGAATAGAAACGTTTCGATGGTAGAAACAGCACAGTAGAAACGTTTCTATTGAGGATGGAATCAGATCGAGACAGCAGTAAAGAACAAGGCGACGCGTAGACAGCGAATCGAGAGCGAGACGCACTGAAAGGGTCCAGTGAAGATGATAACAGACTTGGTGAGCGATATAGAGATGCACATGTGCGTACACGAGCGACGATCAGTGGAGAAATGGAGCGTCGAATCAGACACGAAGAGCTCATTTTCGAAAGAATGGGGACTACTTGTAATTATGTGGACGACACAATAAAGGGTATAGTCCCAATAATTGTATACTTTGTTTCTTATTTTCCACAATAATTGTTTTTTAGGGTCCTATTTTTTTGATGGCGCAATTTTGGGCATTAATTGTGTATTTGGTCCCATCTGATACGTTGGCAGCGCCTGAGGCGGATGTCCAGCGATTGGTGTGGGCCATTGCAGGCGTGTTTGTAATTGCTTCGATCGTGTCTTCTGCAGTACTAATCCGAAGTCATTTGAATCACTTTACACAGCCCATTGTACAGAGCAAGGTTGCAAACTGATTTTATTGTTTAAAATGGGGCATTTATTTAAAAATGTCTGATTCAATTGTACCTTTTTTCTATATTGTTCTAGATTATAGGTATTTTATGGATGGTACCCATTTACGCTTTAGATTCGTGGCTGTCGTTGCGTTTCAAAGATGCAGCCCTTTATTTGGATTTAATGCGTGATTCCTATGAAGGTTACGTAATCTATTTGTTTCTGGCATTATTGGCTGCTTATTTAGGTGGAAATAGCACTGAACGAGTGATTCATATTATCAACCAAGTACCAAATCTGGACCATCCATGGCCATTAAACAGATGGTTCAAACCAATACAGATGGGATCTGGCTTTTTACGAGATTGCAAACTGGCGACAATACAATTTGTTGTTGTGAAACCGACGATGGCTTTTGTAGCCATTGTACTTCGACTGAATAATCTGTACGACCAGGGCAATTTTAGTGTCAAAAATGGGTACTTGTACACAAGTTTCGTGGTCAATGCCTCGATCACGTACGCATTTTATTACCTCGTGCTCTTTTATTTAGCACTGGGTACCCAATTGGCAGTGTATAATCCGGTCCCAAAATTTTTATGTATCAAAGTGGTATTATTCTTGTCATTTTGGCAAAGTGTCGTCTTGGCATTTCTCTCCCGTTTTCAACTTATTCACAAACTTGGATCATGGAGTGTGGAAAATATCACGACAGGAATTCAAAATTTACTCATTTGTTTTGAAATGTTTTTTGTCACATTAGCTCATCAGTGGGCATTCTCGTATCAACCATATGTACATGGAAATGTAGCACTACGTACGAGTATTTTGGCGGATCATCTTGCTCTTGAAGATGCTATGCGTGATTTTAATGAAGTGATGCCAGTGGTTTTACCCACACCATTTCAACCTGGTGCAGCCACATTGAAAGCGAAAAAAAGAATAATTATTCCAATGATGTGTATGCGATGGAAAGTGTAGAACTATTGAGTGAGGAGGGGATCTCATCTGATGTTAAAAGTGATTCATCTTTGGAATCAAGAGGTTCACAAAGCTCAAGTGTTGGAAACAAGTCAGTCACGCGCGGTTGGAAATTGTAGACCCGGATACAAGAAACTACTTCTTTATCTAACGTTGTTTGGATATTACACAACGATATCGAAATTGCTGCCACATGCTGAGACGTTTACAGACTATTTTGAAAGCTACAGATTTGTTTCTGGTTGTTGGTGATGAGTGACTCATGCGTCCTCTTTGCAAATTCGAAAGTTGCGCAGGTCTTTTTGACCGGCCAATTCAAGACCTTTCTCATTAGCGAGATGCAGGACGCAAATGAAGTAGAAGGAGACTGTCACATTCGAAGGGACCTGCAAAGATTATGGAAAGCAAAAACGTTAGCAACCTCACACACTACAACGAATACATAGCAGACAGCATTGTTTGTCGTACCTTGCCCGCAACATTCTCGACCACGTTTTCAAAAGTCGTATAGGTGTTATCACTGTCTTCGAGCTCATTTGTCTCCGGTTCACGAAAGCGTTTACCGCTCTCATTGACTGACATAGCATCAACGTCGGTTTGTGTAACATTAGTAGCATCATCAGTCTCTCCTTCACCCTTGTCAAACTTTTTCTCCAGGTGTTCCCAAATGCTGCCCTTCAACTTCTTCACATCCACGCGTTTGGCAAAGCGTTCGTAATGCACGCCGATTTTCTCGACCACACGATCAGCTTGAACCAGACCTTGCACAGAATACAACTCTTGTGTCTCATCCGCCACGCTGGCGTCTTCTTCTTCATCTTCGTCATCATACCCTCCCTCGAAGCCAGCACTGTCCTCATTATACGTAAAGGGTTGCTTCCGGTCCTTCTCATCAGCCGTGTCACCACTCGCATCTCTGTATTTAGTGTCCGCTGCTGAAGCGCTTTCTCGACGAGCGCCATCCGAAACGCCACTACCGCCACGCTTTCTAAAAAACCGAGGCCTTTCTTTCAAAAAGTGCCGGAAAAAGAGACTGAGCTCAATATGCGTGTCCACAGGCAATACCAGATCAGAAGCGTTCTCCATTTGCTTCTTCAAATTGCCTTTCGACACCTCCAAACTAGTAGTAGACTTCGGAGCCTTTAGCCTTGATACATCAGGTGCCTCTCCGAAGAAGTCCACCATCACAACTGTCTTTTTATCCACACCAGCGCTGCTTCCCTTCTGAGCACGGTCAACAAAAAGTCCATTCGGTTCAGCCTTAATCGCAACACCGTCTTCATCAACCTCTCCGTTTGCTCCTTCAAGACCATCCTTGTCTGTCTCCTCATTATGGCGCTGTTTCATTTGCATTTTACGAACAGCAGGGAACTTCCAGTGCCCAGGGCCTGCCCAATTGCGAAGCATCTTTACATCAAAGTACGAATAGTCATTCTTGCTGTTTTGGTCCTCACCACCCTGCTCTTCTTTAATCGTCACAGACCGGACGAGTGCAGACTCAATCATCTGGAAAAAAAGGTTATTTTCGTAATCCTCGGGCATATTTTCATTCACCTTTGCGCGGAAGAAGTCTACAGCAGTCGATCTCAGTGACGACTCCTTGTCGAGCGGTAGTAAGTCACTTTCGGTGCCATTCTGAGTAAAATCATCAGGAACGTGGTCTTCCTCGTCACTTTGGGCCAGGTCAACAATATCGTTTTCCTTTTCCATATCCACATCAGCAGCAGTGTCTACTTCTACTACATCTGCCGCTTCACCGCCGGTGCCGCCAGTACCCGCATCAGCATCATAGTCTGCAACGTCTTCACCAAATTCCACTGAAACATCATGTGCTGTATCTTCTCCATCTGATTCATCATCACTGGCACCTTCCATAATGCCAGCTAGATTTATACCAGCTACATCCTTCTTGTCCAGCGTCTGCCGCCGACCTTTCACTGGGGTAGTAAGCAAAAAGTCGTTCCTGATACCAAGTTTGTGGCGGGACTCGTCTCCGTAGAACTCGTCCAGTTGCTCGTACATTCGGTACAACGAAGGACATACGCGTAGGCTCTGTATGTCCTGGTCAATACATGCCATACTACCGAACAGGGACAGACTAATACGCGCGGTAAAAGCGGGATGTGTGTCAATTCTTTCCTCGTCGCTCACTATCTCAACAGTGTCCTTACACTTGGTGCTTTCCTCGATGGCATCCTCTGCAACCACAATCTTTTCTTTGCTCACTTCCTCCTCCGTGGTGACATCATCAATAGAACATTCGTTCTCAGGCTCCTCAAATTCAGCATCTTCGGCCGACATTTCTTTCTCCTTTGTATGTTCCTCCACTATCGTAATGTCTTCGTCTGACCTTTTGTTATCGACAGCAGGGTTACTTTCGATAGCCTCACTTTCTTTACCACCGCCCTCCTTTCCATCATCGTTCCCTTCATCTTTCTGCCCTTCACTGCCGTCACTCTTAGCTTTAGCCACATCGTTTTCGTCAGAAACATCGACAGCAGCATCAGTTGTTGTGGCAATTGTAGGCTTTTCCAATTTCTGTTTCTCTTTATCGTCAGGTTCATCCTTCGACTTGCCTACATCCATATGAATCTGTTTCCGTGTTACCATACTCACATCAGATGAATTCAACAGGATTTTGCACCCATCGTACACGCTAAGATTGGCCAGTAACATTCCCTTTGCACCTCCTTCATCAAATGACTGAGACATCTTGTGAAAGAGTGGATCAGCCTCGCACTCCATGTCGTAAGCTTTCAAGTTGATATTGTTCAAGTTCTTTTCAATCGTTCGCGCATGTGTTTTTCTCGTCTTGCGTGCCTTCTTGGCACCACCTTCAGCATCACTTCCTGTATCATCCACACCATGTTTCTGCTCCGTCCGTGACAAGTTTTCGAGAATCTTATACGACGAATTCCATGTATCATCCACTCGATACGAGTAGATTTTAATACTTGCATCAAGTGTACAACTTGCTTTTTGGAAATTATAGGTATCATTATCGCCATCTGCAGCATTTCTCCTACACATGAAAAAAAAGAACACAAATGTATCATTAATTGTTACATCAGCTCTTTCTCTCTTTTTTGCCACCATGAGTCCTTTATACTTATTCGAATCCAGAATGTCTTCCATATGGTCGATCAAATGCAGCGACCATGAATTTTTAACGTTAATTTTCTATCAATAATGACAATAAGAACAAGAATAACAAATATGGTCAGCGCCCACGACCTATTCCCTCGAAATAGTGACATTTGCCTACATTTTCCGACGACATCTTAATAATGGTTGAGTACATGTCACTAATGTACTGTTTACTGTGTGTTGTGGCTGTACTGCCTCCACTACCACCTGCTGCAGCCGCTGCTTTTCTCTCATTGGCTGTTAAAGATCGTCGTCTCTGCTGGAAACCAAGCGACCGACGCCGTCGACGTCGACGCGCAATGTCCTCGTCTTCGTCTTTGTGGGTTATTGAGCGCTTTCGCTTGCGCTTGCTACGCTTTATCGCGTCAAGAAGAGGCACATCTTTATGCTCCTGCTCTTCCTCGTCTTCTGTGAGCTCGTACTGCTCCATATCACTCTCGTCGTCGCTCTGTAACTCGCCGCCTGTCGTCTTCATTGTAAATTTTACACTAAATTTTCATGTAATTTTCATGATAGCAGACTGACTTGAATTTAGTATGCAGTCAGATGTAGCCATCTGTTGGTGTTGTCACTGTAGCCATATGTACCATCATGTAGCCATATAGTGGGTTTGGAAGCCATGGCGGCACTTCTAGCGATAAGTGTATTGATAGATGGATGCTTTTGTAGTGAGTGCTATTTGTAAGAGCTAGAGGCAGTCTGATAATGGATGGTTGGCATGTTTAGGAAGGAGGCTTACGTTGTAAAGAGGCTCAATTTTAAGAAAAAAGAAGACCGACACATGTAGATAAGACAGTGATATGTCAGACAATAAAGCACAGTTGATCCATCTATTCTCTTTGTCCACATGCTAGCTGTAATGAAGCAACGTTCTTAGTCAAATAAAGCAGGTATATCATAGTCTAACAACGTACTTTGAACGACAGTGTTGTGGTTGTTGTCGATAGGATCCACGAGTTTGTTTGTACCGGGATCATTCGTCTGAATCTACCAACAAACTAGGATCGTCGCGTTGGAAGCGCTTGAATGTGGCAGTAGAACTAACATTTGCGTAGCTATCGCGTACGATACTCGGATGCGTTCAAGAGATCGAATCTGACAAGATACGACTGCATCTTTTCACGTCGTTTTGACACACGACAGTGGATTCCTTTCGACTCTAGAATAATGAATCAATGACTTGCATCTTGAAACGAAAAATGTCAGTGCTTGCAGTGACTACTAACTACAATGTGCTCTCAGTTTGTCAAAAACCACCTTGACACAAGATGGAGGTAGGTTTGAGAAGTCATCTGGAATATTCATCTATCTAATTCGAGAGTGAGGCAGTTACAAGAAAGAAAGTTTCAAGACGATAGAGGACTTTCCATCGAGTGATACCCTTATGCACAGGACAGTTGTAGACTCTACCTCTCGTCTTATTCGGGTATTGATCTCGGCTTTCAAGTCACGAGAAATCCGAACATCGATGGACATCTGCCAATCTTCCTCTGTTTTCTGCGTTCTATTGCTGGAAGGTAAGACCACGTTCACTCACTACGAAGAGACTTGAGGAAGCATTCAACAACAGTCGAAGAAGACGTCACCTGGCCCTATAGTTTCAATATATATAAAGTCGATCGACTTCCATCTCGACCCTCTCACTCTTCACTCTCTCTCTCTATCACGAACGAATCTCTCCATCTGGCTAACTGACTGACTGACTATCTAGTGTAACACTGCAAGACTACGTTCACAACACTTCCTCTTTGAACACATTCGCCATGAAGCGCTCGTTCGAGGACGTGTCTGCAGTTCGATCCAATGTTGATGATAATGCACTCAGCACCATCGATAGTGAACCGGTTGCTGTCACGGGGGCTACTAGCCACGATACCAACTCTTTCGGTCGACCACGGAAGTATCGGATGTTGCACCACACACGATCGTCAGCTCTGCTGGTGCATCCGACAGAGATCAATGGTCTCTCAAATGATTGTAACATTGCGTTCTCGCTGACATCACCTCACCGAAGATGCGATGACTTGGAGGCTGCTTTACCGGAGGAAGCGTTGTTGAATCTGGTAGTCTCGTTTCTCAACGTTCGTGAACAGCAGCATCTTCGAGAAATTAGTCGATTATGGCAGGAACGGGTGCAAACGTTAGAAGTAGATCGACTTGATTTGTCCGCTAAAACGTTGCCTTTGAGCGCACGTACACTTCATCGTGCGTGTCTCGCTGTTATGCAGAGCTACAGTCGCGTTCGTCGGCTTGACGTGTCAGGCCAACGTTCACTTACTGACCGCGACCTGCTCGTGCTGACGTCATGCTTCTGGTCACACCTCGAGGAGATCGTTGCGGACGATTGTCCTGAGGTTTCAGATGTTGCAGTGCTAGCTATGCTCAATGCTCAATCTCTGCGACTTTGTTCCGTGTCCGTGCGTCGATGCAAGAGGGTCACGGGTGAAGTATTTGCTGGTCAAGTCTCGCATCTCACAGGATTGCATCCGTCGCTCACGAGTCTTAATATGGATGACACCAGCGTAACTCGTTCGTTTATCTCGTGTCTAGAGACTCACTTTCCGACGCTGCAGCATTTAAGCGCTCTTCACACACCGGCACATCGCACGTTTTTCCTGCAGAACTCAACGTTGCGTCCTGTTTTGCATGAACTTCAGTTACTGGTGAGCAACGAACTCGTGGAGCTTCCGTTGCTGCCTGCGCTTCTTGATGAATTTCATCGGTGGTGCCGTAGTCAAGGTCGACGTAAAGCTGGAGCCTTTGAACGTACGGTAATAGCGAGTGGATCACGTGCGCTCCTGGATATCCCACTGCTTCTTTCTGGTGCTAATGCTACCAGCGAGACTGAAGCAACTGACTCTGTACTCATATCACCTCTACTGTATGCGTGCGCTAGTGGAAGAACTCGAGCTTTACAAGCTATCCTGATGGCGTCGCAAGGTCAACAAAATGGTACTGCTCTCGATTTGGAGAATACGGACGCAGATGGACACTCGGCGCTGAGTCTTGCGGTTGCAAATGGACTTTTGGAAGCTACTCGACTATTGCTGCAAGCAGGAGCCGATGTTAATACTCGTTCATTGATCTCAGCTTCGCCACTCTACATCGCTAGTGAGCACGGTTGGGACGTTTTGGTGGACATGTTGCTTGACGCAAATGCAGAGAGGGATTGTGCAGTCAGAGGTGGAGCGACTGCGTTATGTGCTGCCGCCAAGAATGGTCACCGGTCAATTGTGCTGAGACTACTTGCAGCTGAGAAGCAGGCCGAGGACGAATTACAAGCTCGAGGTCGTATCAGCAAGAAGCAATTGGTGCAAGCTTTGTTCTTGGCTTGTGAGGGTGGTCACTTGTTCGTGGTCTCTGATCTTCTTCTACTCACAGAGCTGGATGCTAATGTTCTCATGGACGAGAATGTGTCTCCACTCTACTTGGCTTGTCAAATGGGGCACGTGAATATTGCGTCTCTATTGCTAAAGCGTGGTGCAAATCCGAGCTTTCGCAGACCACAGGGTGGGGTATCGTGCTTATACATTGCTGCTCAGGAAGGGCATGACCAGATTGTCCGCTTGCTAATGAAAGCGGGGACGAACGTGTACACAAAGATGCATGATATGTCTACTGCACTACACATCGCTGCTCGCATGGGTCGGATAGCTGTTTCCAGGGCTCTGCTACAATATGGTGCTCGGTTGAACGACCAAACTCGTTCTGGACTGACGGCGCTGTATATTGCAAGCGAAGAAGGACACGTGAAGCTTGTTCAATTTTTGCTCGAAGCTGGTGCTGTACGGGACTTGCAAACAAGCACCGGAGCGACAGCTTTGTTTGCTGCCGTGCACCGGGGACACAAAGCCGTCATAAAAGCTTTGCTTCTTGGGGGAGCGAATGCCTCCTTAGCAAAGCACAACGGTACTAGTCCTCTCGACGCAGCAGCATTGCTAGGTGATATCAAGACCACGAGACTTCTGCTACGCTTCGGAGCACGCGTAGGTGGATTAACCCTGCATTTCGCCGAGCGTCGACGCAACGCTGCCGATCTCCAAGCCTTACTGCGGACGCGCTACAAAGCCCAGCACCCCTCCCACCGTGTCAATACCGACATCGTGACAAGCATTTAACCTGCAACAGCATAAAGAAGCATTATGTCGATCAGGTAGAGATGATTCAGTGTCCATGTGACGCTGATGTACATTAGTCAATAGACGCTAGAACTTCAAATTGAAGTGGAATTTCTTGTATCTTCAGTTCATCTTACTAAACTACGTCGAACATGACGTCCTGTAGCTTATGCGTTGGTAGTCTTGGTTTCCATTGTATCCGTAACTTAAGGACTTGACTTGTGCTCCGCTCTTATCTTGTCGAGTTTATAAGTCACATTGTGCACGGCTTCTTTCGCCCGTGTCTTGATCGATGGTTTCTCGATTTCTCCGATAGCCGTCTGGACTCTGATAATCTGCCTCTGCAGACGTGCAAAACCAGTGAAATGAGCGTCACGAGTTGTGCTCACAAGCCACTCCACCGTTTCGGAGGTTGTTGCCTTTATGCCATTGTGTTTACTGGACATCGAGTGCCTTGTATCGTAAGCCTTTGCCACCTGGTGCAAGTCGGCCAGTGCATTGGAAGCCTGTTTCATGGTCCTATTGGCCTCGGCTGCACCAGTACTTTTGTGGATATAGTCAGCTGCACGCTTGAGTTCTTGCACGGCGTCTTTGGCGTGGTCAAGACTGTCACAAAATAACGACGTTGTCGAGATCGAGTGATGCAGGTGATGCTTGTAGTCGTATTCTCCAAGACGTTGGTTCAGTACGTCCAGGTACGTCAGACTGTTGTGGACACATTGGTATAAATGCGCCTGCAACATCGTGTATTCGTGGTCTGCAATGGCATTGTCAAAGGACTTACCCATACTTGATAGAGGTTGGTATATTTGGAATGAACTTATGGAATGAAGAACGTGTAAAGGCAAACACCATCATGACATGCTTCAATTAAACTCATGCAGAACATTTGTGGTAACAATCCATCTTTGACTGTCTCACTGCGACGAATCCTACTTTAGAATATACTGACATGCAAGCTAAATGCGCCTTATCTGAGCTTATTTTGACGATGTCTTTTCATAAATCAATTTCATGAAACGAATGAAATTCGACTCGACTTTCAATTGTGACAGTAAGAGCTTTAACAAATGTCCGTCATTCATCATCAAATACTATACTATATTCTAGTCAGCAAATCAGAAAGGAATGATGACCTTGTATCTTGGCCCTAGTATAGTCGTATACATGGATCAAAAATCATTTCATTTCATTTGCAAACACAAACCCTTTATTCAATAATCTGCTGGCTCAAAATGATGGTGACGCTGTTCTGCGCGATCGTTGATCTGGGAGGGGTAATGGTAACCCAACATTGGTGGACCAATTGCAGAAGGCAAATAATGCAGAGAACAAGAACGACTTGAAGGATGTTGATGCGGACAAGCTGCAACTCTTCCTAGTGAAGATGACGGACGACGTGTGGCAGAAAGACGACGATTCTGCTGCGCAACAGTTATCTGAAGGGGAGACGCATCCACATATTCAGCAGGTAATTAATGGGGAGCACGCACTTGCGTCAAGAACCTTACAGTATAGGTTATTGGAAAAAATTAAATGTCACTGCCATCTAGTGGCTAAGCTCACGTGCTGATCGCAGCTTCAAAAATGCTTAAAGGAAACTCTAGTGCGAAGGAAGTTGCAAGCTAAAGAAACGATGACAAACGTGCTCTGACGGAACGTCGTTAAATGCTTCATGTATCTCATGGTAGGCACTCGTCCCGACCTTGTAGGTGCAGTGAAGTACTCAGCCAGATTTTTGCCGACCCTTGTCCGACACACTGGCAAGCGCTTAAGAGGGTCCTTCGGTATATACAAGGCATGGTATCAATTATAAAGCAGGTGGTGGCTCCAGATTTTAAGACTATTAGGATACAGACTGGTCTGGCAACGTCGACTCAAGGCGAAGTACAAGCGGCTACGCGCGTTTGATGAACGATGAATGCATCAGCTGAATGAGTAAGAATCAACGAACGATAGCACTATGAAGTAGAGTACATGGCACTATTGAAGGCTAAGTAAAAGGCAGTATGTCTGATGGTGTTTCTGTGCAAATTTTGTGAGATGGCAATAACGATCAAGCAGTCAAGATCTACGAGGACAACCAAGGATCGATCGCGCTGGTCGAGAACCGCAAGCTACACAAGCGCACCAAGCATATCGACATTCGTACCACCTTGTGCATGAGAAGGTTGCTGAACTACAGGTAATTCTGGAATATTGCTCATTAAAGGAATGAAACCTGACTCTATGACCAAGCCGATCAGCGCCAAGCAGATCCAGCATCTTCGTAATCTGTTGGGTATCAAGAGGTAAGTTCTGCGGTGTCGAGTGAGAATGTTGTCGAAGAAGCATTTCGGCCAGAAAGTGGTAACCGAAATGTACGCTTAGACGATCAACAATGCGCAACGTGGAAATTGCAAATGCTCGATGTGTAGTCAAAGAATCCAGTAGGTTTCGAGTAGCATAAGAAAGTTGCCAACTAACGACCTAAATAAATTCATTTTTACATTTTTACCATCTAGTGCTCATTTTCCTGTAAGTTCAGTCCGTTGGGACCTCACATCTACGACTCAGAGTCAAAGTACCTCTGACTAGTGAAGAAGAATACGGCTGCTTTAAACTTCTTTTATAGCGACTAATGCTGTACTGCAGACCCAACTTTCATGAGCAAGTTAAGTACTTACGGGAATGGGAAGCTGAAAGAAGGTCACCTAGGCAGTGTTTTCGGTCCTCCAGGACTGGGAAAGTCAACGATTTCTATGGCCTTCGCGTCAATAGTCGACAGGAGGTGATATGAATTCAAGTTGCGATGGATGATGACTGGCAATATGTACGTGTGATATTGTGATTGTCAGAGACGTCTATTGATATGACTGTAAATTTCAAAACAACAATTCGACGAGCAAGCCGGCGCAATTGAGCAAATACGTTAGGAATAACTTCCTTTGTGGTTCGCCCGTTTGCGTTCAGTTGCGACTTTCGCCCTAGCTAAGTACCCACAATTAATTCTTCAGAAGCCTGCCTGAGCTCAGCAGCTTTCGTTCCTCTCAAGTCTGTGTCCTCACACCAATGGGTCAACGCCGGCGCTTTCGCGCTTTACAGGTCACCGGGCGCAGTTAACGCCCAACTATAAGGTTTACGGTGCCCTCTGCTAAGGCTCTAGCGAGTAACAGCGACTTTCTCTTCTTTTAACAGCCCCGATCCTTTTACTACCGTTTTAGTGGATAGACGACAATCTATTCACACTATGCATCTATATCGTTGTGCTGTCAATGAGAAAAGTAATAATTGACAAACATATTAGCATTAAGGCACACCGACTCGTCATTTGACGAGATTTTTTTTCGCTGATACGCGAGCTAAGCCCCACCATAGAAGTGCGCACATGTTCTTGACTTGGTTGACTTGGAATATCTGCTCTGTATTAGTTTATCTCTTTTTCTTCTCCAGAGAACCTTTTGAATAGCTCTGCTATTACACTGTCTTTCCTATACAGTTATCTAGTGAAACGGACAGTCGATCTTTCTACCGCTCTCAATGGAACTAACAATTTGACGCCCGAAGCCTCGACGAGCGATAACTCGGCAAGCTGAAACTCGACGAATGTAAATTAGATGTCTGGAAACTCGATGAACAACGACTTGACGAGCCAAGGCTTGACGAGGCAATACTCGACAAGCAAACTCGACGAGGAAAACTCGTTGTGGTCGAAATATGTCATACAATAGAAATATCACATTTGTACATTCCCTACACCACATACGTCTGATTGGCGACGAGCGAACATCTCGAAATATCGTTAATGTTCTGGAATTGGAGAAGGTGTTGCAAACTTCATGCTTGTAACGTGCTAGTTGATGGTGGACTGCTGCAGATGACTTTAAGATGCTTAACCAATAAAGCTCAACGTACTTTCACAGCACGACGTTGTCATGAAACGCCGGATCGCATTGATTTGCTACATGGCCTTTTGTGATGAGGTTGTTCCGACTCCACTATCTTCTACTATTCAAGTGCCGGGTTTAGTGCCGCATCAACTATCTCGAGACTGCCTCTCGAATTAACAGATTTTATCATCAGCATGTAACGGCGATCACCATAGCAGCTGATTACAGGTGTTACCATAAAGTACCTTGACCATCGCAAACATGCGGTTGAAGCTTAACTGTAAATGCTGAACAGTTGTGGCGGTATCCAAAGCATTACTAAACGCACCCGCAGCATGCTTATATCGAATTTATATTGAAACTTAGGTTGTCAGGAGCGTTTAATCGAATGAAGATGGCTTCTCGTCGGGATTGCTTAACAAACGGTGAGATATCTTTGCCAATTTGCAAGTGAGAACCACCCGATCATCTTTCTATCTAAGACATATCATGTAATGGGCTACATTACACATATAGCATTAACACAAATAAACAATTACATATGTAGGCAGGTGCTGGGCCCGAATAGCGGGCACAGCGTGGTAATTTATTATTGGTTTATTATTGGGCCTAAAGTCCCCAATATGGACCAATGATAAATCAACCTGAAATTGTGTGGTTCCCGAAAGGCGGGAACACTGTCGTATTTATTACGACTAAAATCTTCGTAATTAGTACGAATTAAAACCAAAATAAAATCAGAGTTAAATTTACTTAATACCTAATACTCGGGCTTGAGTCTTCCTCAAGCGCACGTGTAATAGCCCCGTTACACCTGGTAGCACTTTGTAGTCCTTCCTATGCCCGAGTTTGGGATGAGCGAATCGTCGTACTTTGACGCTCCAGACTTATTTCTGGAGCACGCGACCTTCCCCCATCTTACTGGTGTTGAGTGGGATGCCCTTAATCGCCTCGCGGCGATATCGGGAGAGGCATTCGTCGCGTCGCTGATGAGATCAGCGACCCCTGACGCGCAACGTCTCGCCATACATGAGTTTATGGCACGCGAGCTCGCCGAATCCAACCGGCGAGGCTTAACTCCCTCGCGCCCTTCACGTAATGAGGCCGTGAAGATGGAAACCTCCTCCTACTCTGGAGAAGGTAAGGACCGGTTATCGCTGAACCGGTGGTTCCGAGAAGTTGATATCGCCATCGCCTCGAGACTTCTTGAGGCTCCACAGGCGAAGGTCAACTTTCTTCTTTCCCGCCTCACCGGGAAGGCCAAGGAGTGGGCCCTTGGTAAGCTCGTTGTGGACGAGCACGCATTTCCCACCTTGGATACCATCCAGGACGATCTCCGTCTTGCCTTCGAGCCACCACAAGAGGAGAAACTGGTGCGATCAAGATTCCTGTCGATGCGACAGGGTAAAATGGCGATGCGCGACTACGTACAGATGGCTAGGCATCTGGCGTCGTGTATTATCACGCACCCCATGGACATGTACACACAGGTGAATGTCTTTGTGGATGGTATGCGTGAGGGGCAGACCCGCTTATCGCTGGAGCGCGCCGAGCCTGCCACATTGGAGGAGGCATTCGCCATCGCACTCCGTGAAGACTTTAGGGTCACAAAGGCCTATGCCAAACCCTCGGTCGTCAGCGTTCCCCGTCCTTCTGGCCCAGAACCTATGGAGATCGACGTTATTGAGTCGTCGGGTGACCGGCGACGTGTCTTTCATCATAAAGGTGACGCTCGCACCGGGCGTCCAATGGTTTGCTTTCGTTGTCGCAAGCCAGGACATCGCGCGGCAGAGTGCCGTGCGCCAGCCCCATTATCGGTGCAAGTAGTGGACGCCCATCATGAGGGTGCTGTACCGGCCGCACGTCCAAAAAACGGTCGGGACCAGTAGGTGCAGGGCGCCCTACTGGTTGGAACGGAG